GGTTTGTATACATTTTCTGCAGACATTGTAAAGGGCTTGCTCTGAGCTGGATTATGGGATAGTGTTATGGCGGAGATTAACGTTTTTACTTCTTCTTTTAGCGCAGCTCTTAGTTCCATTGTGATGGAGTCTTTGAGTTGCTGAATATTGGTAATCTCATGTTCAGATTGCTGTGACTTCGTATCTTGGTAGTCAGGGAGTGAAAATTGGGAGATATCAAAATCTCCTTCAAGGGAACTTGAGGTAGTATCATTCACCAGTTTAACTTTTTTCTCAACAGCATCTATGAATTTCTCCTGAGTATGTAGAGATATCTTTTCCAGGATATCATCATCATGATGGTTCCAATTAGAATTAGACCTCTCCATGGAAACACAGTATTCCAGTATATTTATTTCTAGTTCCTGGCATCCAATAATTTAATTTCATTCCCCTTGATGGTTCCAATTAGAATTAGACCTCTCCATGGAAACACAGTATTCCAGTATATTTATTTCTAGTTCCTGGCATCCAATAATTTAATTTCATTCCCCTTGATGGTTCCAATTAGAATTATACCTCTCCATGGAATCACATAGTTCCTGGCATCCAACAATTTAATTTCATTCCCCTTGATGGTTCCAATTAGAATTAGACCTCTCCATGGAAACACAGTATTCCAGTATATTTATTTCTAGTTCCTTGTTCCTGGCATCCAATAATTTAATTTCATTCCCCTTGATGGTTCCAATTAGAATTATACCTCTCCATGGAATCACATAGTTCCTGGCATCCAACAATTTAATTTCATTCCCCTTGATGGTTCCAATTAGAATTAGACCTCTCCATGGAAACACAGTATTCCAGTATATTTATTTCTAGTTCCTGGCATCCAATAATTTAATTTCATTCCCCTTGATGGTTCCAATTAGAATTAGACCTCTCCATGGAAACACAGTATTCCAGTATATTTATTTCTAGTTCCTGGCATCCAATAATTTAATTTCATTCCCCTTGATGGTTCCAATTAGAATTATACCTCTCCATGGAATCACATAGTTCCTGGCATCCAACAATTTAATTTCATTCCCCTTGATGGTTCCAATTGATTGGCCGACATCTGTCCGACAGCGACATCTGTCCGACTCAGAAAATAGGTTATTTGGACAATAGTTTATGTCGGATCCTACCGTACGATTTTCTTGAAACTTTCCATAAAGTATAGTGGTTATATGACGAATAATCTGTGTAAGTTTGAGCGAGTTTCTATGAGCCAAATTTAAGATATTACCTTAAACACTAAAAATATATCCAATTCGGTGGTTTTCAGTGGTTCCAAAGCATATATCTGAAGATCCAACGATACGATTTTCTTGAAACTTTCTAGATAGTAAGATAGCTTTAAGACAAATAATTTTTGCTAGTTTGATTAAATTTCTATGTGCCAAATTTGAGATATCACTTCAAACACACGAAAATAGTGTTGTCGGACAGATGTCGCTGTTGGACAGATGTCGTGTTACCAAACTGATTTATTGTTATTTAATTTTGAATCTATTTAAATTATTATATTAACTGAATTACATTGTATAGACTGCATAGCAAAAGTTTGGAGCTTTGTCTGCTGAAAGTCAGTTTTGAAACAATTGAATGAAAGGAGAGCTACTGACTGATATCATAAGCTACAGTAGGGAACGTAGTGGTAAGTCTTTGTCAAGTTATACAATTAAAATATTGTAACAAGTTAAGTTAGGAAGATTGTTTGTGATTGGTATCATCGATTTTCACTTTTTAAGAGTCTAAATTGCAGGAACTTGAACTCGACAGAATGATGACGTGGTGACCATTATATCTGATATTATAACAAACTTGAAAAGTTACATGCTTTTTACGTAAATGTATGAACCAAAAGTGTTGCTTTTATTAGTGTTTCTTAAAACTGTAACTATCACGATCGAATTATAGACTTTAATTGAAGCTAATGGGACACATCTAACCGCAGATTAAACGTTTAGCCGGTGTAGTAGCGACGAAATCCATACCTCAGAGGTTGCCAGCTAAACCAGTTGTAAGTGGTTCACAATCATTAAAATTGTTATTGTTAAAAGTGCAACGACCTGAGCCTTTGCGCCGTGACATGGACGGTAACACAACTCCTGTCCGACAGCGAGATCTGTCCGAATCAGGGTACCAGAAAAAAACGGCATCTGTCCGAAATCATCATCTGATTTCAACACATTTCCAATTAGAGACATGATCTGAACTCATGAACTGTTACTCGCTAATTTGTATACGTAACATTTCCAATTTGAGATATGATCTACCCAATGCTCCGCGTCCGCCATATAATATAACATTTTTTTTTTTGAACATTTAAAATATAATTTGGAACATTACAGTAACGTTATTCAAATCTCAAACAGAAAAAAGTATATTTCAAAGCTTTGTGTTTTGATCATATGATTATGGGTGTATAGTGATTTTGATTGCATAAATTTGATTGGGCAGTGATGGTGAGTGAGAGGATGATGGGAGTGCCAGCCAGTAACTCTGTCAAATGAACAGCCCACTGAGGAGTGGGTGAGCGCAAGCGCGAGAACGGCAGAGAGGGTGGCATAAAACGGATTACACGGCCACAGAAAAGACACAGAAACTAAACCGTGCGCGGTAAGTTAGCCAGTGTCTGAGAGCTGGTGTTGCCCGGCAGGAGGCATCCAAAAGAGGTGCCGTGGTGAACTCAGAACTGTGGAGGCAAAGTTCGAATGCAAGGCGAAGCAACTCAAACTGATGATGAAGAGGTAGACTGAACGGGAAGTAAAGAAAAAGGAAAAGGAAGGATCCAGCTGAGGTCTGGCTCATGTCAGGAAGTGATGAAAAGCTCACAGACAAAATCATCCGTGGCTGTCTACCCCGTACGTAGGCAGTGTCCGAGATTTCAGGCATCAGGATACACTGAAATAGTGCAGAGCTGATTACGACCAGGGTCCTCACGGATACCCCGCCTCGGAGGTCGAGCCAATGCCCTGCTTTCGATACTTATGTCTACTGGTGGAACCTTCATATTTTCTCTACTAGCAGTCACTGTAACCCTATCACTCGGAAGGCCCCACAGTGAGTGTGCATTTATCCAGAGAGCAATATTCCACAATTGTGTTCCTAACCAAAGTGGTTACTCCTCCTCCTTTACCTGATTTGCGGATGTCACTATAGGATTTGTATCCTTTCAGGGAAACTTCGCATCCGGTTTCTTGGAGGCAGATTATATCATTTGGACTGATGATTTTGACAAATTCGGGATCCTCAACTTTGTTTCCGAGCAAGCCATGAATGTTTGCAACATTCCAGGAAATTATACCGTTGACGATGTTCATCAGTCAGGTATAGAAGATGAGAGAGGCAAGAGGAGAGGAGGAAAGAAGAAGAGAACTCGGAAGACTTGGAGGAGCTGAGAATGAGAGACTGGAATTCAAGTACGGTCCCTGCTAAATGTACTATTGAGACTTGTCTTGAAGTTTCCCATGATTACTCTGATACCTCTGTCATTTAGATGAGGTTGATCTGGGACAAACAGATAGTCGTGTGGAATATCCGATCCCCCCGGGTAGAAGTTGTTGTTTCTGTTTTCTCTTGATCTCATCCAGAAATCAGCCTTTTCACTGTCATCTTTAAGATTTCTGATTGCCTCTGTGATGAGTCGACTATTCTTACCCCATTCCTCTCCAGGATGGTCGCGGAGAAAGGGGTGAGAGATGAATATTTTGCAGTGTTGTGAGGTCTGTCTAAGGATCTTTTCAGTTGACTTTATTAATGACCCCACCACAATATCAGCCTTGTTGCCTTCCAGGATGTCCCGAGTACCAAGGTGAATGTACACTGCATCTGGATTGAGGTTTGAGATCTCTTCTACTGTTCGTTCGAGGCACGAGTCAAGTTCTTTCAAACTTGGCCTGTATATTACAGAGACATTGTACCTCTTTGGAAACTCGTCAGGTTTAAAGCTTCGCATGGTCGAGTCACAGAGGAGAACAATTTTCTTTTGGCGCTGTACTGGGTTACTCGCTCTTTTGGATCTCCCTGATCTGCGTTCTTAGCAGTACCCCAAAGGAAAGATCGTCGAGTATTTTCGTCCCATCCAGAGTCCCAGAGCAGCATTTTTTCGTTGTCGGTAGAGAGCATATAGTTTGCAGGAATAGGGAGCGTTTCCAGATTAGAAAGGTTTCCAGATTAGAAGGGTTTCTCGGGTTAGAAAGGTGTCTGTTTGCTGCTTTTCTGCTTCTCTGTACCATTCTGTTGAGGGGTGATAGCTGGCAGCTCTAGATTCGTAACCCAATCCACCAACTGATTCAGATAAGAGGTATTTCGTCGGTCGATCTCCACCAGAAGCTTTTCTTTTCAAGTTCTGTTTGCTGACGTGGACGGTCGTTTCAGCATGGTGGGCAGGGTGAGTGCGGTCAGGAGTAGGAGTGATCAGTTGTTTCTCCACGGTAGAATCGTGCTCTGCAACCCTTTCGGAAATCCGAATATTTCCAGTGGGTGGTATCGTCTCTTTATTTGTCGAAGACGTATCGGAAGCCATTCAGGACAGGGTTCTCCGGGCCGAGCCAGGGATAAACTGAAGATTGGTTGCAATTGTGGATTGCGATAACTGATCTACATACCGCTGTCTTATATGTACTCATGTCCTGTGATTTGATCGACAGCTTGTAAGTTTACGGCTAGGACGATCTGACGTTCCTGTTCTCAACTAGTCAATCATATATCGAGGATTATATCTCAATGGATCACATCAGCATTAGAACAATGGGAGCAACGTCACGAGATTACCCGTGAGCTTGTGAAATACGAATGTGAACTGAAATTACAATATGATCCGAAATTCGGACAGATGTCGCCAAAAACGACTCCTGTCCGACAGCCACATCTGTCCGAAATCCCTAATTCGGCTGTCGGACAGATGTCGCCCAATCGACATGGACACGGTTGGACACCACCTATACCGTTATTTGGTAGATCAACTTAATAGATTTACATGGTTTTGACTTACATCTCAAAACTTATTTAATTTAACTGTTACTATACCTGCCGGCAGGTATAGTAACAGTTAAATTAAATAAGTTTTGAGATGTAAGTCAAACAGTATTTCCCAGGAACAATATTTCATCACAAATGAACAAATTGCTCCAAGATACATACAGTTCGAGCTCATATGATTTTCTTCCTGTAAGTATATCTTGTCAAATGTCAAAGAATCGATGTAACATAGTATGTTGTTACACGCTTCATAACTTATCGCAGCAATGTGTACTATCCTACATTCGTTTTCATTTGGTATATACATTCATTGAAATAACTATTGTTTTTCAGCCAAAGAGTAGTCGAAGATTGAGAGCATTCCTGCTATCAAGAAACCTGTTATCAAGAAGCCTGATATCAAAAAACCTGATATCAAGACATGCAGCACTGTCAAATCGGTTAGTACAAGTGCAAAAACTGTTCGTGAACACGTGTCGCCCATCGGGATACTTGGATATTGCCGGTTTTATGTGTGATCTCGAGTTACATATGTCGTCACTCGTCATGCTCAAATCCATCTAAATAACTGATAATCAGCTGTTACCCGGGTGAAACTTCAGTTTATCTTCTATCAACGTTTATTGATCTCACAAATGCTTGATGTTTGAATTGCAGTGTCGTTTAACACTAACAGTACTTAAATCACCAGTATGTAAAGTCAAATCACTAGTATGAAGGCATATCATAGTAGTACATTTTACTGATTTAAATCGAAACCGTCAGATCTTAACGTTCAAAATGTACGATAAAAACTTTACCGAGCCGAGTTTTACCGAGGTTTTGCAAACATGTGGACGGGGCTAAGAAGGTCAAAATCGCCGGCTTACCTACCTTTAAGGTAGACGAATTGTTTCTCTCCATGATGCTCTCGAACGATCGAGGAGACAGCATAAGGAAATTATGTCAGGCTTCCCAGTATCCCATAGTGATGTTCTTCAATGGAATTGTAGAAGACCTGAACAGATCAGACCGGAAGATCTTTTATTTTCGGTTGCCCTAGCTGCTTCGGAAAGGTGCTCCTATTACTCAAAATTGGGTAGAGTCTTAACAAAGCCGTTTGTTGGTAAGAGCATCAAAGGTTGCTGCATTCATGAACTGATTACAAATCAACATTTCACGCAAATTGCGCCCAAGCTCTTAATGTAAAATGTAAAAGCAGATTCGAAAGACAATAAGAATCCATCTACTGTTCATGATCCTTCCCTGAATCAGGTTGAGACTGAGTTATCTGCCTCGGGGCTGCCCCTGCAATATCCACCAAGAGGTGATTCAACTGTAGAGCGTATGCTAAAACATGTGATGGAAAACAAACGCATTCCACTGAGTGGAATCCACTCATGTGTAAGACGGAACCAGTCAAATCCCTGTCAAAACTTATTCCTTCCGAGCAAATCTGCACACACTGTAACCAGCCAGGGGAGGTGGTTACAGAAGGAGGCAGTGACGACTGTTGAATACATGTTAATTTCTGTTTCACCTGTCAGACTCCATATCGATACACCGATGTCTCGGAAGGGGTGTTCACGGTTCAATAACAACGACCATACAATTGTAGACTGTCAGCTTCTGGAAACCATCTTCACCAGACTGACATTGTTTGGACACCCCATATCCGAGACAGTCGATCTTTCCGAAAGGAGTCCGACAGTCCCCACCTTACCAACAACACCCTAAGGGATCCCTTCCTACTCTATATGGGCATGAAGGAGACACCTCTAGACTTCCTGTCCTGTAGAGAGTGTGGGAGGCATTCCCCTGTCATCCTCTTTGATGTGAAAGCAATAGATAAAGGCTCTGACGGCAAACATGATGTCTACCCCATACAATTTGATGACTTGTGGAACATCGATCGTCAAGCAGAAAACCGGATCTAACGTCATCAACGGTATGCTTGACATGCTTAAATCAAGAAGGGGACACTGAGATAACGGGTGGAGAGGATAATAGAACACAACACAGATCACTATTCGTTCACTAAAAAGTTTGTACAGATTGCTGGGAAGAGTGGTGGACTTCTCACAGTCATGTGTCCACATGGAATATGTGTAGGGTTTAGGCCTTAGGGTCCTCTGCCTGCATGAAGGGGCATCGGATTACGTTCAGTTCCTTAGATCATGGCAGCATATTCCGTCAATATCTGTTGTGGTCTTTGCTTCCCAAGTGGCCCGCCATGCCGAGAAGCAGTTCCCTGGTATGCTGCCACCATACGGAGGAAAGCTGGCAGACTCTTCAAAACCGGAGATCCCGCAATTCATCAAATTCGGCGGCCTTATAAACTTCGATGAGCTGTTGAACCACAAAGTTCAATCTGTGAAATCCAACCCTAGAGACCATCCTGTAACCAAGTGAAGCCACAAGTTACCATATTTATGTCCATAATCAAAGATAGAGATTCGGCGGAAAGACAGTGCAGGTTGAGCGCCGCCCAGTAAGCCATAAGTACATCTTATTTGACAGATTTCATTCGAGTTGAATTTTAAAAATCCATTAGATATATTTCATCGCTTGGATATTTGTGCACAGCTGCTACGGAATAGAATAAACACATCAATTTGTGAGCAAAATCACAAGGAGCTTAATAGGTACAGATATTCATTATATAACATGTCAGTTACATTCATACATCTTATGAGAAACGGCTGCACGACTTCCAGGCCCCCTATTATTAGGGGTCAGATCATACTTACTTACTTGATACTTGATAAGGTCTCCTCGATCATTCGAGTGGCCTGCACCAAGGAATTGCCGCTTATGTCGTATAATCTCTCTCCAGTGCTTGCGATTTCCTGCCAACTCTCGGACCTTATCAAATACAATGTCTGGATCTCCTGTAAATGTTACTGCGTCTTCCAGGACACAGGTTCGCCAATTCTTTCTTGGCCGCCCACGTGATCTTCGGCCGTGAGCAGGTGTCCAGTCAAGTAGATACTTTGGTAGCCTGGTGTCCGGCATTCTAGAAACATGTCCAAACCAGCGAAGACGGTTGGCACTGATGTTGGTTATAACCGGGTTTATTCTTGCCCGCTCCAACACTTGAACATTGCTCGTCCGGTGGAACCATTTAATTCGAAGGATTCTCCACAAACAGTTTTGATGGAAAACTTCGAAGCGATGTAGTTGCTTTGAAGTAGTGTTCCAGACTTCGCTTCCATAAAGTAATATTGTTAGAACCGCTGCAACATATATCCGTATTTTGGTGTTAGTTTGGATATTGCGATTCTTCCAAATATTACCGAGCTGATTGAATGCTCCTGAGGCTTTCTGGATCCGTGCAGACAAGTCCCGGTCAATAGTCCCATCACTTGATATAATCGACACAAGGGGGAAGTTGCTGACTTGCTGGATAGCCGTGTCTCCCACTGTAATGTCCACCGTTGATGCTTCAGTATACGGCCTCTGTGATGTATTCTTGCCGATGGCCATAACCTCTGTTTTCTTCGCATTGATTCTGAGGCCAGCCTGAGCCGCATACTTGCATAAAAGATCAGTCGTCTCCTGGAGACCGTCCTTGGTGTTGTCCATGATAGCCAAATCATCTGCATAGTTAGTATCCAAGACGACTGTATTCTGACCAAAGCTGGTGGTAGCTCTCTGCAGCACTGCCCCGTGTGACAACACTTTGTTATCCTCAGCCCGCTGCGCAGGCAGGTTGATGCAAACATTAAAGATAGGTGGACCCTGAATATCCCCCTGCCCAGAACCAGATGTAACGTCAAACCAATCTGAGAGCTCACCATTATGTCTGACAGAGCTGACGGTGCCACAAAAGAATGCTTGCATTATGCGAATGTATTTACAAGGCAAGCCATAATGACTGAAAGCTTTCCAGATAAACTCCCGATTAAGTGAATCGAATGCAGCTTTAAAGTCAACAAAATTTATGTACAGGGGGAGGTTAAACTCAATGCTGTTGTGAATAATAGTACGAAGCGAATAAATCTGATCAATGCAAGACCTTTTTTTCCTGAACCCGCACTGATTCTCTCGGAGCAGTTCTTCAAGCCCCGCATTCATCCGTCGCAACACTATTATCTGATATAGTTTTGATGCCGTGGAGCGTAGGGTTATGCCCCTGTAGCTGTTGTTCGAGCAGAATGATGTATCACCCTTTTTCGGGACAATAACAATGATACCCTTAACCCAATCCTCTGGCACATTCTCCGTCTCCCAAACACGTGCAAACAGTTTCTCAAGCCTGTCTAAAAGACCAGGAGCCCCATACTTCAGCTGTTCGTTGGAAATTTCATCAATTCCAGAGCTCTTGTGATTCTTCAGACTCTTTAAAGCCTCAGAGATCTCTGTTCTGCTAGGGGGTAAATCACTATCACTCAGATACGGAAAACATGGTGCGACCTCTAGACTGTCTAGGTCTGAAAGGTCCACGTCTCCTATCTGCGGGTTTAGTAGTTCAGCGAAGTGCTCACCCCATCGTTTTCGTTGAGCAGCGGGGTCAGAAATCAACTTCTCGGTTTTATCTCTGACAGCAGTTGACTTCCGACTCTTCTTGCCTGACAAGGACTTGATCATCTGCCAGACCTCCCTCTGCTGACCGTGTGAAGAAGCTGTTTCCAGATCGGCTGCAACCCGTAAAGCCCAGTTCTCATCGTCCTTCTTGCAGCTCTTCTTAACACGCTTATTAGCAAGAGAATACTCAGATCTATTGAATCCATCACTTGGGCATTTCTGCTTGACCTTACTCCGCTCCGAGATGAGATCCTTTGTCTCTTGTGACAAGTGCTGCTTGTCAGATCATTATATATAACGTATAATTAGTGATGTGCCGTATAATTAGTGATGTGATCCACCAGCTACGATTTACAGAACATGTGAACTCTACCCTATATCTAGCCCAGTTTTACCCCTTAGTTTTGATTTAAATTAACAAGTACACACACAATACTAAAAGAACAGATATCGTGGAGTTGGGTATGGTAATTCCTTCGCCTCTTAGCGGGTTTCTTGCCAACACTCAACCTGTCGATGTGAAAGTCGGTAATGACTTGCTGATCTTTGATAGCTCGCACATACTCTTGAACAGAGGGCTTTGGGCGATGCACTCGGGATTTAAATCCTCTGTGAAAGCCCTCAACCATGTTCGAGGTTCGAGGGAACTCCGGATCCCGAATGATTCTGGCGAAATGGTTCCAGAATCCTAGTTTCAGGGATACTAGGACTTCTCTTCGTTCAGGAGCTGCGAGGTCTGCTTCGTGGGTGTGAGTTTAATGACTCAATGTAAGAGTATTGTCTGACAGGGTGAGATAACACCGACAGGGACACTTAGTAGGAGGAGTGTGCTTGCAGCACCGCCAGGCAGACTTGAGGGCTGAATCTTTTACTTGTCCTTCTTCCGGGAGTAGATGTATCCATCAGAGTCGAGTAGCTGTTGACATCCTGTCCGACCAGAGATGAATTTGGAGAAGGTAGGCATGTTGATAGAATGCGATACTATTGTCTATTATCTTCCAGTATATAATATACCTAAGAACACTTGATCGGCTCACTCCCGTTGCATGCCTTTGGCACGTACGTCTCACATCCCTAGATACAAGAACCCCTCTTTAGCAAGAGCTCCTGTCCCTTATGTGATATACGAGTCGAGCGGTCAAATCTTAAAGATCATGTTTACTTCTTAATGCACAGCTATGATGTACATGTGAACTCTACCATTTCTAGGTTAGTTAAATTCTACTGATGGATCACATTACTAATAATACGTCACTAATTAGTGACATGATCTGATCTCCCTGGCCCCCTAGTAATGAGGGGGCCTGGAAGTCGGCCTCCCGACCAGTCAGTGAGTGGAATAGGGAGTGAAGCCTGTTACCATTCCTCCACTCTTTAGAGTTTAGGAAAATAGAGCCAGCAACGAAGATTGATAATCGCCTGCTAGTTCCTGTAGCAACTAAATCATTTAGTGAGTGCCTGAGGATGGTGACCGGATTTTCGTCTGTTCAAGAGAAGAACATCCAACAGCAAGGAATGTGAAATATATCAATGCCATGCCGTGCCAACAGCAGACGGATAACTTCTCGTGTGGACCTCTATGCTTTGGGTTTCTCTGGGCATTTAGTGGTGGAAACGACCCCCAACAGATTCTGGTTCAACTCTACGGATATTAGGAAGACCATACTTAAAATCGCCGAGGACGTCAATAATCGCGATACACATCTTGGGAGAGAAGTGCAAAAAAGAAATCCAACGGCAGCGTCAAAATCTCTGGTAACTGTTTCCTGTCAGGCTGTCAGAATCCTTAACAACAAATTACTCTCCAAACCCTGGGCAACTTCTCTCCTAGCTCCAACTACAACCGAAATACTGTAATATAAGCCCATCACCCTTTTTCATCAGTCTCTGGAAAGCCCCTTTGAAGTACCTACAGGTGTATCTATACTAGTACATATACTCATTCCACTAACATGTAACATGTTCACGTAATCATTATAATGAGCTTTCCTCACTTCTTCACTTATCACTCAACCCAGCCTCTCTTCCAGTGCTCTGGATTTGGAGGACTTAATTAATGATACACTCAATTAATATACTTGTTAATTGATCTTTGATGTAATTTCTATTCGGTCTATTATTTTAATTTTGTTAGTGCATGGAGTGAGTCATGTGTATTAAATTTCGTAATGAAGACTGCTTTCAATTCCCAATTGAATTTGTTTTAGTTCTTAGTACAATATTTTAAGAGATTAAGAGAAAAGGAAGTTTTGATACTATGGTTTCGTACACGCTGCTTTGCTTTTAATAACTTCCTGGGTTGATGTTATACAGGTGGGCTGTGTAGAATAATTTTAAATTTGGGATAGACGTTGCAAAACTATGATCGACCGCCAAGCTTTTGTTATATTTGAAATAATAACAATAATAAATTAAATTATAAACACTGCTTTTAAGTTGTAAAACTTTTACTCAGCAGTTTGAGAACAACTACAAAAGAACAAACTGATATAAGTGCCACAATAACTCTATCCTAAATTAACAGCCTTCCCAGCAATACACGATATATTAATATAACTCAGTAAATAGTACACACTACACAGTATTATGTACTATGTAGTACACAGGCACATTCAATCATTTAGTAACCATAAATGTTTAGCCAGTGAATTATTTTAATGGTATTATTTACACACTGCTCCTCATGATGTGTGGTATATTAAAGCTTTATTACCGGGACTACTGTATTTCGTTTACTTGTTAATCCGACCGACTGCTTTAAACTTTTTTTAAGTATGTTGTCTTCAAATTAATTCTGAGACCCACTCAATCAATACGATGCTGCATTCCATGTTTACATTGTTCCTAATTACATTGTTATCTTCATCCATGATCGCTAATAAGCTTAATAACATTGTTTGTAATTTAGTACTTCTTTTTCACTTGTTTACAAAAGAAATATGACTCTGAATTTTTCAGCTCCAGTACCTTGGTCGAGTTAAATCGTTTCTGCTCAGATGTCCGCTGGAGTACTTCGTAATGTTGTTCTAAGGATGAAAAAAGGTAGTACAAAATTTAAGATTGTAAATCTTTAGAATCATACTGTCTAGCGCCTAATCGTTTAAAATCTGGCAAGTAACTGAGATAACTAAAACCTGATTGAGATTTGAAATGTTACTTACCATTGTACAGTCAAAAATTATATTTTTAATTTCAGCATAGTGATGAGAGAGGGCTATCAATGTGTGGGATTTCTGCTGCTTTACAGTTACAGTCATCTGACTTTTTCATTTTTACTCAGTGACTTTCTGAGGAAAGAGTTCTGCTAAAAAAGATATGCACGCGAGAGATGTTTACTCTGAGATTATGCTGATGCCGGATGCATCACAAACACATATTATTCGAACTGCAAATCGGAGAATTTTTTTATAATCCTGAACTTAATTTAAAATCCTTACTTAAAATCAATTCTCATCCAATACTTCACAGAGATTGCATTTAAGAGAGTAACAGGACGCTCGCAATATCTTGTATATATATATATTTTCTTGTGTTTGAAATCATTATATCTCAAGTTTGGCACATATAATTCTCCCAAACTCTCACACATTATCCGTCATATAGCCATGTAACTATCTGAAAAGTTTAAAGAAAATCTATCAGTCAGACCTTGAGAAAATCATTAGAAATATATTCTAAGTTATTCACAAAAACACTGTATTTTCGAACTTTTTAACTTTTTATTTTGAACAGATTTGTCGTTCTGGTACCAAAATGCTTTACCATAATAAACGTACGGCGCGAGAACATTTCCTCGTCCAAAGTCTGACAGTTAACAACATGCGTAGGATTCCCTCAAGAGGGGAAATCGTAATCGCCACCGAGCACGATCTCAAACGCTTTTGATTCTTCTAATTAGGATTTTATAAAATAGGATGTAAATCTAATTTGCTGTGTTGTTAAAATGTTACGATTTATGTATAATACTCATAAATTTATTTCATCAGATGTTACCTGAGGACCCCAGGCTATTATGTTCATTAAAGATTTGGCGGAATGACAGGCTGAGCGCGGCCCAGTAAATCAGATGTGGCAATTAACTATTAAAAACGCAGTTTAGCCATAAAAAGTAGGTTATTAATTTACAAATACATGTTCAATAATTTTATTGTCAATGTTTTTTGGAGCTAAAATTAAAAACACCCGCACATTTTACTGATGTCTTAAATTATATTAAATTACATTGTAGTATTAAAATACTTTCAACACTACTATATAACAAATAATTTGAGATCATGAATACGATGTAGTTACATGATTGAAACGTCGACTAACTCCTTTCCCTAATAAGAGCATTTTCATTTGTCGCAACAACCGGGATAAAGATAAATTTACTTGTCATACGTTGTATGACCCGCCGCGCACGAAGTGCGTGGCTCCCCCTGTATCGTCAGGACGATAAAGGGGTGAAAACGACCGTGGGGGTCGCAACGTGATACAAAAATTTACACAGAATACATTACAGCAATACACATACATACATACATACATACATGAAGAGGTCTCCTCCTAGTCGTTGGAGTGGCCTGCAACACACACATCTTTTCTACGGCGTAACATGTTCCTCCATTCCACTCGCTTAAGAGCCAACTGTTTTACTGCATCTCTGCTGATGTTATCGACACCTGTAAATTCAGCCGCATCCTCGAGTACACAGGCCATCCAGCCTTTGCGGGGTCGTCCTCTCAGTCTCTTTCCATAGTTTGGTTTCCAATCCAGTAAGAAATTGGGAAACCGCGTCTCTGGCATTCTGAAAACATGTCCGTACCACCTTAGTCTAGCCGCACCGATGAAAGTTTCGATAGACTTAATTCCAGCACGCCTGAGAACTTCTTCATTGGAGACATGGAAGAACCACTTTATCTTCAAGATTCTTCTCAGGGAGGTCAGATGGAAGACCTCAAACCGTTTCATCTGCTTCTTTGTTGTGTTCCACACTTCAGCTCCATATAACAGAATAGTAATAACAGCAGCCTTGTAGATACGGATCTTGGTGGGCGTTCTTATAGTTCGACTGTTCCATATCTTCCAAAGCTGATGGAACGCACCATTAGCACGCTGGATCCTGATGTCAAGATCTCGGTCAATGGTACCATCCCCACTGATGTTGGCACCAAGATAAACAAAGTTGCTGACCTGTTCAACAGGTTCTCCCTCCACTGTTAGCTTTATACTGTCTCTTTCGGTGTAAGGTCGCTGGGACGCACACTTGCTGATCGCCATGCATTGTGTCTTTTTAGCGTTGATCTTTAACCCAGCATAAGAGGTGTAATAAGCTTTAAGATCAGTGGACTCTTGCAGCCCTTCTTCAGTATTGTCCATCACTGCCAGATCATCAGCGTAGTCACTATCCATGATAACTTTTTCATCTGCACCCTTTAGTTCCTTTTGCAGTACAGCACCATGACTGATTGCCTTGTGAACCTCGGCCAAAAAGATTCCAAAGTTCAGACAAAAATTAAATACAGGGGGGCCCTGGATATCACCCTGTCCAGTGCCCGAATTAACAGAGAACCAATCAGACATTTCACCATTAACCCTGACAGCACTCATGGTTCCGTTGAAGAATGCCTGAAAGATTCTAACATATTTCTCAGGAAGTCCATAGTGTCTCATGCTTGACCAAATAAACTCTCTTCTGATGGAATCAAACGCTGCCTTATAATCAATGAAATTAACATAAAGTGGAATGTTAAACTCAATGCAGTTGTGAATAATGGTGCGGATGGAATAAATCTGATCAATACATGAGCGGTTCCGTCTGAACCCACACTGATTTTCCCTAAGAAGACACTCCATTCCAACATCCAGCCTCTTAAGAAGAACCATTTGAAGAACCTTAGAAGACGTTGCCCTAAGAGTTATACCCCTATTATTGCAGCAGTATGAGGTGTCTCCCTTCTTTCCGATAACCACTATAACACCTTTAAGCCAATCCTCAGGGATCACCTCTTCCTCCCATACCTTTTTAAACAGTAGCTCTAGTTGGCCAACAAGAGCACTTCCACCATACTTAAGTTGTTCATTAGTTATCTCATCAACCCCTGCACTTTTGCAGTTCTTCAGTTTCTTTAGAGCATAACTAATCTCATCTCTAGAAGGAGGTCCATCAGAACAAGAAAGGTAGTCAAAACTCGGTTGTGAGGGCACACCATCGAGGTCATCAAGATTGGCATCCGATAGTGGAGGATTTAAGAGCTCAGTAAAGTGCTCCTTCCACCTTTCCTTCTGACTGTCCGGGTCTGTAATAAAATGACCATCCTTATCCCTAACTGACATACCCACTTTCTTCTTCTTTTTCCCAGAAATCTTCTTTATCTTATCCCAAACTTCCCTTTGCTGGCCTTTCTTAGAAGCCTCCTCTAGATCAGTCGCTATTTTAGTAGCCCAGTTGTTGTCGTCAATTTTACAACTTTTCTTAACTAATTTATTAAGTTTAGAGTAGGCTGATCTATTGACGTTTGAAGTGGGATCCCTCCGTTTGAACATTCCCCGTTGCTCTATCAAGTTCTTAGAGGTTTGCGAAAGGTGTTGTTCTTTAACCTTCCGGGGACGCTTTCCAAGCACTTCCATCGAGACATCAGTGACTGTCTGCTTGAAATTATCCCACATGTCCTCAAGGTTGACCTCATTAGCCAGACAATCAAAACGGTTCTGAAGAGCCACGTTGTACTCTTGAACCTTAGACGAGTTTCGCAAATGTTCGATAGCAGGCACATCGTGCCTTTTAGCAGTGATCTTAGCTACCGACTGCAGTTTGATTTGCAGCCGTCCACGAACAAGATAGTGATCTGAACCAATGTCAGCCCCACGACATACCTTAACATCGAGCAGCGAGTGTTGGAATCGTTCACTAATACAAATATGATCTATTTGATTCACAGTTAACCCGTTAGGAGACCGCCATGTACCCTTGTGGATGTCTCTATGCTGGAACAGAGTTCCACCAATAACAAGTTGATTGGCTGCACAGAAATCCATGAGCCTGGTCCCATTGTCGCTTGATGAACTATGGAGAGATTCTCCACCAATAACTCCCTCGAATCCATATCTGTTTGAAGTAACTTTTCCATTGAAGTCACCCAGTAGCAGTTTCAGATCATGTCGGGGCAGTTCACCAAACGTGTCTGATAAAACGTTGTAAAAACGATCTTTCTCTCCGTCATCAGCACCGTCAGTCGGAGCGTAGGCTACAACAACAGATATGTTGAGGTGTTTGCCGTGTAACCTAGCTGTTAAGACCCGCTCTGATGTAGGTACATAAGAGATCAGGGAGTTCCTGCCCTTTTTGGAAAGACATAGGCCAACCCCTTGCCTTTTGATACCATCTCCCCTACCAGAATGAATAAGTAGACTACCATTGTCCAAAAGTGTACTTCCAGATCCTGGCATATGAGTTTCAGTAATACCCAAAATATCAAGACTGTAGTGATCAATTTTCTGACTGAGTTGATAAAGCTGTGAAGATGAGCTGACTAAAGATAAAACAGCAATGCGACTCATAAATATAATACTCCAATCTTACAGTTTTTATCGCCTGTTTTCTGAACATTTTCTTGTTCCACCTCCGTCTAAGGCAAAGATGCACACTCTCGTTAATTTAAGTGTCATTTACAGCTGCGCATAAGGGTTAAATTTAAATTATTTAACCTTTTGGTAAAAATAACATTAATTTATTATTATTATTATTATCTTGCGTGGTACAACCGTGGCGAAATTGTTGTTAGGGACTGTCACAAAGAGACGGTTAAGTTGTACTACTGACATACCATTACCAATAGATTTGGGGGGGGGGGGGGGGGGGGGGGGGGCCAACCATATTAAAGTATGTTAAAGTATATCCCGGGTCAAAATCGGAAAAAATCCTACATTTTAATATAATTTAATATACCTACAATTAGAAGATTTATATTCTTCGTTAAGATTTACATGATGAACTATATTTTTCACTCAGATTCGCAAGATAAGCCTGTTTTAGGACTAGTACATGACTTTCCATCCAGATTGGTCAAAAATTGGCTGAGCTATGAGCTTTAAAAAATATGCCCATATTTGGGCATACGCTTTTGCCCAAATTCGCTTTTGCCCAAATTCGATAAAATTTCAATATTTTTTAATGAGACTAACTCTATGTGAAAGATATAACTCAGTGTTTGTTGAATATAGTGGATACTAAGTAAAAAGACCTCCATGAACAAAATTGGGAAAATTGCACAATAATATCTCTGTTCGGAATACTAGCCAAAATGACTTCATTAAAATTGAAATAACTCCATCAGTTTTCAATATTTTTTCAAGAACTTTTTGGAATCGATTAAGAATTGCATTTCAAGCTTATTTTGGGTAACAATTTTCGATGTAGGCCTCCAAGGATAGGGATATATTAAAGTATATTGTAGGTATATTAAAGTATATTAAAGTATATCCCCGGGTCAAAATCGGGAAAAATCCTACATTTTAATATACTTTAATATGGTTGGCCCCCCCCCCAGATTTAAGTCCATCTCAGTTTGATTTAACGGTAGCATGGTGAGAACATGACCTAAGTACACCCAAAAATGACACTGTGGTGGATGGGTACCTCCCTTGGCCTTTCAAGCAGAAGCAGCTTAAGGTTAATGGGATTTTCAAGTTTACTTCTAGTTAACTAATTCATGGATTAAGCTCTTATTTTATTTATGATTAAAGGAATGTGAAATAAAACTTATTGTTTCATTGAAAACTTATTGTTTCATTGAGCTCTAGAATTAGAAGCTCTAGAATCAAATTTACACAGCAATACAATAAGAATAAAAAATAATTCAAGAAGCTTCAATCTGCTGTGCATGACATTCAAGTCAGTCGAAAACTGTTAGTAGAATACCCTTCTAGGGACATAAAGATATAGCATGTAAAACACAATAAATAATTAATTTATGAGTGATAAAATAAGATATGATTTAACAGTGAACTGTGGGCATGAAGGTAACAATTAATGTTGAAAATTACATAGATTCCCACTTTGAAATTCCGTTAGTAATATTATTTATAGTTATACACAGAAGTATAGAACAATAATAGATGTGGATACTGGCGGGGAGGTGATCATTGTTTGTTTACATTAATAGTGAGCACATGTTAAGCAGGCTGAGGAGGTGATCATTGTTTGTTTCCATTTTAGGTGGAGCACATGTTAAGCAGGCTGAGAAGGTGATACATATTTTGTATTATAGAAGGTTTGTAACACTTGTAACGCCTTCTTGTTACCCCCCTTTGAGGGCCCCGAATTATTTTCTGAACGAAAGCTCAAAAATAACCGAGAAATCGACCTTCTTATTAACTCATTTTGATGACCGTTTCAAACCTAAAATTATAGGGGCCCGTTCAGAAAAATCTCATATTGTACATGGGCAGTGGGCACGGTTACATTGTAATGATCACGGTTCACACAATTTCTAGTTCTGTATGACGTAATCATGGCGTGTGTACCGAAGGTGCAGTCTGCAGATAAGAGCACCTTGAAATTGCCAACCTGTGGCAGAGATAACAATGTGAACAAAGGGTCAAATACAGATAAGAAAGGTAAACATACGATATAATGTCCCTCTGCTCACTCTTCCTGTTGTGATTGGACGGATCAGCGTCACGTGACAGAACACCTCTATTACAATTGGTCGGGATCACGGAGCACATCAGGGCTGCCCGTCGTCCGAATAAATATAATTCTGAACTTGTTATTATGATTGTTATATACCTTTATTGTGTTTCTTTTGACTTTTGCTATATCGTGCTCTGCTCTGAAAATTGTGATAGAACCTGTTCGAGTTGTTAATGAGACAATCTCCTTGTTCTTTCGTTGCAGAATCAACATGTTCTTTGTTTGAGTAACACAACAATTTTGAGGAAAAAGGAAGCGTTATTGGGCTGTAAAACCAACTTAAATCGATTTCTCGTGCAACGTTGTACAGGTGAGGAACAGTCATCAAAATGAGTTGCTTACCTGCACTGCTGTGTTTTGTCGTACTCTGCTCTTCGCTCAAGTTCGATCAGTTAAGGTGAGGATTGCCTCGATCTTTCGGTAACTATAAAACATCGATTTTGAGGGATAAGGAAGTGTTTATAGGTTCTGAAACCTAGCTTAATCGATTTTTCGTGCAATTTTAGGTTAGAAACGGTCATCAAAATGAGTTAATAAGAAGGTTGATTTCTCGGTTATTTTTGAGCTTTCGTTCAGAAAATAATTCGGGGCCCTCAAAGGGGGGTAACAAGAAGGCGTTACAAGTGTTACAAACCTTCTATAATACAAAATATGTATCACCTCCTCAGCCTGCTCAACATGTGCTCCACCTAAAATGTAAACAAACAATGATCACCTCCTCAGCCTGCTTAACATGTGCTCACTATTAATGTAAACAAACAATGATCACCTCCCCGCCAGTATCCACATCTATAGAATGGCAATGATAACAAATGGGAACGAATAAAGGAGATGTTTAAAGTTCTATACTTCTGAAAATAAGTTTAAATAGGATTTAAAGATTAAGTTTAACTTATTTGATTTAATAAGGTCATATAACGCAGGGGGCCTTTCCACATGACAAAAACTCTTAAAATTTGTTTCAGTTGTCACATAGCTAGAGTGTAGAAATAGTCGAAACTATTGTTTATTTCATAGGATGAGACTCCTTGAGTTACATCTGACATAAATTTAGATTTCATACATTGTGAGAATTTTACACTACATTCTATAGTCCTTATGTTCTCTGGAATTGTATTCCAACATTTTTCACCTAAATATGTAAAGGTTTTGTGTTCTGGATTTGTGAATATAAAGGTTGCACCTCTCAACATCACGTGATCCTCCGGATACATAAGAAAATGTATCGGTGAATGATGATGGTGCAGCCTCATTAAGAATTTTATGCATATACGTTGATAAATGGAGTTATCTTCTTAAAAGTGTAAGGGTAACCAGCTCTTATACTGGGATTACAAAGCATTTGATATCTATAATCACGGGCAGTTAGAGGTGTACGTGGGATGGCAAAGAAGGCATGGACCGCCCCTATATCCAATGTCTCCCTCAACCTGATACCTGAGGAGAAGAGCTACGAGGGATAGATGATATTTATTGTTCAGGATTTACGATTGTGCTCTGCCAATTGCATCACTTGATTTAATTTATTGTATATATACATATTACATATTATACTGTTTGAAATTTTTCAAACAAAAAATAATAATCACAGACATTAAATTTAGAGATTTAGAACACAAAGTGTAGAGATTCGATTATAATATACTAGAAACCCGCCGCTAGTCGAAAGCTTTGTTCGAGGAAATTTTAAGCATCAGTTATGTTTTAATTTCTCTTCATCATATAGCCCCAAAACAATACTTTTTACCGCATCAAAAAATTTCAATCACAACCAAAGTTATAAATATATATAGGTATTTATCGGTCATCGCTAGTCAATGGTCAAACAATCCAACAAATATGCTTTAGTTCCCGAACCCTGCTTCACTGAAAATATATGAATTACACATTTGAATCATTTCGGTAAATGTCAGGTCCCTCATCGTCTCATTTGATAGATCTGTTCAAATTGAAGTTTTTACGTATGAAAGAATTGTGATAAATAAAAAAGGAAATTTGTGCTGAATGAAATTGGTAAAATGACATAATCTATCAAATGACTTTAGATCCTAAATCAAATAGGTTAATAAATGGATATTTACGTAGGTTGACAAAACGTTAATTCAAAATTATTATCATTATATGAAATTATTATATGAAAATTGATTGCTATGAAAATAAGTAATAGCTAGTTATGAAGACAATCCTTGAACACGGGATTCTTTGCAATATTGCCCCGACTTGACAGCACCAAGATATCCTTAGGATCGTGTGTTCTTGACAAAGCTTTGTTCGAGGAAATTTTAAAAATCAGTTATGTTTTAATTTCTCTTCATCATATAGCTCTGTTATACTGTAGACATAATGGAATTTATCTAACAATGGCGACAGCGTTGTTAGTATTCGGATTCCCAAAACGATACTTTTTACCGCATCAAAAAATACCAATCACAACCAAAGTTATGAATATAAGTCATAGCGTGAGCGTAAATGTGAGCTAGTTTTGAAATTATGACGTAGCATACAGCATAACAACGCGCGTAGTTAAGATGTTTTTGCTCGCGCACGTGCATTTTAACGTTGCTACGCAACAGCGCAGTAAACCTTTGCTAAAATAACGACATTATTCTAACGGTTATTTTACCTCACTTCCGACGTTAATTATAAAAAATCTAAAGCCTAAATCAAAATTCTAAGAATGCTATAGCCTATTCCTATCCTTTTTCTACAACCCTGCTAAAAATGGCGAGGTTTCAACTCCATTTGCGAGCTGGGTTTGATTTCACCAGAGGGTCATTTTGAGGTCGATTTGCCGGGGAAATTTCGTCAAGTTTAAATTATAGTATAGATAATATTATTATATAAAATTCATAATACAAGATTTATTGTTTCATTTAAAAATACAGGGTGGGCCAAAAGTCAGTGTGCAAACGTTGGCCTTAATAGCTCAGTCACTGAGTGCCCAATTGAAATACTTCCTTCTGGTATGACTTAGTACCACCACTGGTTCGAGGAATTTGTCAACTCGAAAAATATTCGCGTTCATTTTTTTCAAATGGAGGTTCATTTTCACATTTTTTTGATAGTTTGGATAATCGGATCAAGCTAAATGTTATTGAATTGTGTTTGGCCATTCGAATTACGTTTGCCCTGAAAGAATGAGAGTTCTAGCTTCTCAGATGACCGAGATATGAAGCATAACAAGCTTGTTCATTACGTGTGATCAGGTGATTGGTTTACCTAATCACGTGATAAGGTGACCCCGTTAACTACCCCGTTAAACATTATGGGAATTGTTAAGGGTGCCCAATTAAGGTGTCGTGTCACGGTGTCACATAATCACCCAGTTAACGAGATACACAAAATGCTTGTTAACTTCGTCATTTCTAATCCGTTTTGCCTCATTTTTTCAGATCATATGCAACATTTGATAATCTACCGTCTCTAAAAAAATTAGGCGTTCAGGATTTTCAGAGAAAACAATATAGGTGTTTTAATATTGAATGGGCGTGGTCTAAAATATTCGAATTTTCAAATTTTGACGACGGAATCCTCGAACCAGTAAGTACAGTATGCCATCTGCAAAGCAACAGCTCTCAAATATAAAACTCAGCGGAGGTATAAGACCCAACGTTTGCACACTGACTTTTGGCCCACCCTGTACATTGACCTTAATGTTTGTCACTCAGATATAGCCAGTTTGCAAAGACCATGGCTGTGAACTTGGAGATATGGAACATCGCTATAGCCAGTGTGCTATTGATGCTTGTGTATGCTGCCAACATCTCAGCTTTTGACATGCTCAATGCTTCGCTAGATGACAGCAACACAACTCTTACTTCAAAGCTTGGATATGAGTGTTCAAGTATAAACTCGTTTATTTCGATTGGAGGCTCTTTTGTTGTTCCATTTTTGCAATGTCTTGGATACCGAATTCTTATTTCAGGCTCTGCTCTGTTTCATGTGCCCCTGTATCTTGCAATGATCTTCCTAGATAAGTATGTGCTTATCACTGGGGCCACAATAAATGGCATTGCTGATGGGATAGTGTGGGTTGTGGTCTTTGATTATGTGGTTTCTGTGTCACAAAAAAAGAACATTGAAAGAAACATGAGTTACTTCATACTGACGTACAGCTTTGCAGCACTTATTGGAAATCTAATAAACTACTTCAATCTGGACAGTCCAAGAAAGATAACTGACACAGCACGGATTCACATCTATAGTTTATGTACAGCAATTACAATCTTTGCTGCACTGTTGGCAGCTTTTGGGTTACGAAAAATGCCAAGCACACCCCAAAATAGCAGGGAGCAATCAATTGTTGAAACAATTGTTGAAAGCGAAATCTTGCCGGACAGCGATGCTGAGGACTATAATGATTATGATCCCCTTGTAACTTCTGATAATATAGAGGTTGCATTTAGAGACGAAATTAGCATACCAAGGCGCTTGTTAAAGTTTCTTGTTAAGCCCGCTACATTGTCTCAGGGGGTAACTAGTATTGTTTCAGGAATGTTTGATGCTTGGCTGGTGGTAATATTTACCTGTATTCGCAATACATATAGCGACAGACATCTTTTACCTGTTTGTGGCCTTATATATGGCTGCTGTAAAATAGTTTTCAGTGCAATTTGGAATAAGTTAACAACTTTTATTGGCTACAGATTTATGATTTATTTAATTACAGTAGTGACTCTGTTATGGCTTTTGATTATAATGTCGATATTTCCTCCAATATCAATACATGCTCAAGGTAATGCTTCAGATGCTCTTGTACCCCTTGGTCCTTGGGTTGTGTATCTCTTGGGATTTTTCAGCGGTATTTCAAGGACTTGGATGGACCTCTTAAAGCAGATCTCATGTGGCACCTGTTCCAGGGCAGATGATGTTATGGAGGACTTTAAGCCCAGTGTCATGTTCACAGTCAAAACGATTGTTTGGAGTAGTGCTAGTGCAGTAACTTATGCTGTTGTCCCATATGTTAATTTTTATGCCTTTGTTGCTGTTAGCATCTTTGGTTTGCTTGTCAATCATGTTTTGTTTGAGAAAATTTTGCTGAGATATTTTGGGGCTACTGATGAAAGAACACACGTTAATTGATTATGTTTCTTGAGATGAAAACTTACCATATTTTAGGCATGTTTTGAGGGAAAGCCTGTAGCAGCTTTGTAGATTACTTTCTTGATTAAACAACAGTGCAAGTGGAATGTAATTTTAATCGATTTACTGAAAACATCTTGAGATTTTAGTTTACTGTAATTCTTTCATGAGACTTTGCCATTTAAGATTGATTTTTTAGTAAATTGATAAAGCTTAAAATAGCTTGAAAAAAGTCAGGATCTTTTTACAGGTGTAAAGTACGAATTGATTAAATTGGTTTTGTTTACATAATACCTGTTGAAATAATTTTAGCTGCGACCAACAGTTTCTAATTTTGCTGAATAGTTTATCATTTGATTAGTTTGTTTATGATAAAATATTTTCATTAATTTCAAATGATATAAAATTAGACATGTCCAGTAAAGATTTAATTTTTTAAATTTAAAGTTTTTGAATTGTTCGTTTTTGGGTTAAAAATGTTAAATTGTGATGCTTCTCTATTTACCTTGATTTCAATTTTTTTTCTCTTTCAATTTGTTTGACTCGTACAATGGGTTTATAATGAAAATAAACAGCAGTGCCTTTGAAACTTTGCTCTAACCATGCAACTTATCAATGAAAATTTGCCATATACAATGTAATAATGTAATCTTCCCTTGTATGTTAATTTTTCTTACGTACGCTCTTTTTAACAAAAATCATACTTAAAGAGCTCATAATGTCAGCCCGCCCCGGAATAGTTACACCTAAACTTGGTGCAAAGCGTAAACTAAAGGACACTCTAGAAGTGCCTGACATTACTCAGCTGGAGTTATCTCCTCCATCCCGTAAAAAGAGTGAAAGCAAGGGCATAGTGTTGTGTTGGGGCACTGGGGATACCGGCCAGTTGGGACTTGGCGATGAGATCCTGGTCAGGAAGAAGCCTGCTGTCGTCAAAAAAGGTGAATAATGTTGGGGCTGTTCAGCTTGTAAAATACCATTTAATATGATGTTAGGTACTCCTATTCATTAAACATCATGTCTTTATAATTATAATTAAAGAAACTCGAGTTTTAATCATTCCCATTATTATTTAATAAACACTTACAAAGAACAGTAAGATCTAAAAGCTACATTCCTAACTAACATTCCACCAATACAGGAGATCTAGAGGATGAGAATGTGGTGGCAGTTAGAGCCGGAGGTATGCACACTGTGGCGCTGACAGACAGTGGGCGCGTATACACCTGGGGGTGCAACGACGAGGGAGCGCTGGGGCGCAAGGCCACATGTATGGAAGAAGAGTGCATTCCCGGTGAGATAACATTGATGTAAACCATTAACAACTTAGTACTTTAGTAAAGTAATAAGTGTAATGAGTGTAATTTTATCTCTTCTGTCCTTCAGTGATTCCACTCTAATCTAAATTTGAGTACTATAAACATTTATTGTAGAATGTGATCAAAGGCATATGTATTTATTATCAACATTCTAATCCTGTATTGTATGATTATAATAGGGAATAACATAACATGTGCTTTCAGCAATACTCATAAATTAAAAACGTATTATATTGTAATAATATATAATATATGTAATATATATACAAAATGTGTGTCTGTCTGTCTGTGGGTAATTTCCGAACGGCTTAATCAAGAAAACGGTTGGAGTTATGGGCATGGTTTTTTCGGTAAAGTGCCGACAAAACTCTGACGAAGCCAAATGATTAAAGTTTTTATGAAATGTATATTCGGAAGATGGTTTAATTGGTGGTTTTGTGTATTATTAGTGGTATTGTTATACTAGCCTGTTGTCATTTACTACAGTGGTGGGTTAGATTCTGGAGGCAGTGAAATACTGTATTATCTATAATCTACAATAATTAGAGTGAATGATTCATGAATTGCTTATTTTGAGTTTGTAAGGATGTATTTCTATTTTCTGAGTTCAGTTGTATCATGTAGTCTAAACATTATGCCATGTCTCAAAATACATTATAATCAGGGGTCTAATTGTATAATGAAGGATGGAGTGTGCTGTGTGAGGTCTACACCACGTCTTTTAATTACTGGCCGATTTTTCACTGTTTTCGATACGTGTTGGGGGCTCAGAATTAAATTTACTTTAATACGGCCGGTTTGGACTGAGCGAGTTCATGCTTTTGCACCGTTTTAACTTTTGCACCGTTTATACTTTTGCAATTCAACTGTGATATTAAAGTCCCGGCCGCAGGCACGGGTTACACTAGTATTATTATACATAAGTATAATGTTATATATTTCTGTCCCCAGGACTCGTGACACAGATAACGGATCGTGTGATAAAAGTGTGTGCGGGTGACAGTCACACAGCAGTTCTAACTCAGCTTGGTCACGTTTACTGTTGGGGTTATTACCGGGACAACAGTGGACCACTTCTTGGTAATTACTTTTTCTTTTCTAATCTTTCCGATGGATTTCACAATGTAAATTATATAATTAAAGTGACATCTTAATTAATATCTTGTGTTATCTGATTTTGCCAAAACACACCTGCTCCTGCAAAATAGTCCCTGCAAAGTACAGTTAACTTTAGTCTATATCTCTTGGTTTAATAAAATTAACGAAACGTTCGACACTTGCCGAGGTCTCATAATTTTGGCTGCTAACATTTTTTACAGTTGATCATAAACTTCATATTGTTCATCTTACTGGCTAAGATATCTGAGTTAAAATTTATTACAACTCAGGGGGGGGGGGGGGGGGTAAGTTTGGGGAAACATTTTATAAATACTTTCTATTAATATACATATCGTCTCGCTTTATATATAGTAAGATGGCACTAGGCAGTCAGTGACGTCCTTACCTTAACAACTACTCTGTTTTCTTAGATGAGGACGAGAAGAAAAAAGACGGAGGTGAAAGCACACCAAGATGGAAGGCTGTTTGTGTTATGAACAATTCATCTGACCCGGTGAGTCGTATTTTTAGTCGCCAGAGTGCCCTGATTTCCATGAAAATAATTGAATATACTTTATTCGCAGCTAAGCAGGTGAACAATGTAAGGTTGTTGTTCTTTTAATTTTTTAACAAATTTAAGTTGAATGCTTCAAATTCAAAAAGACTAACTTTGGCAATCTCGTCTTCTTTGAAATTCCTAAAAACTAAGCTTTGTACGAATTACAAATTTTAACAGACCTTATCTGATCCGGGATAAAAGTTTCACTGCAAATAGCACGAGTCTGTCACACTACGACAGTATGACCGCTGTGCCCGTTTGTTTATGGAACGCGCGAAATACATTCTTGCATAGATCAGCATTATTAAAACGCGAATTCATACACTGCTTCTCGTATATTCGAATATACGAAGGCGGCCTTTCTTCGATTTTTAGTAAAAACCGCGTACTGAAGTTCTTAACTTCAATCTTGCTGTCTTGGCTCTAACTCTCTTCTTACAGGTAATAGATCTGGGCTCTGGAGTAGACCACTCAGTTGCTGTTACCCGGCAAGGACAAGTTTGGAGTTGGGGCTGCGCTGAACAAGGACAACTGGGAAGGGTCGCTAGATTCATGTCTGTTCGGGGCGGACGGCGTGGACTGGATACTGTTCTGGCTCCTAAGGTTTTAAAAACTTGTTTCTTGATATCTTTATCCAGCTTTGCTTTCTTGTGACCTAGAAATTAAAACGCACTCGAAATTTTCTTTTGGTAACACACAATTAATTTTCATGTCTCCCCAGGAGATAAGATTCAACAAACGAAAATGCCCTGGAAAAGTCATCGGAGTATTCTGTGGAGCGTATCATACATTCCTTAAAACAAATCTTGGTTCATGTTTTGTGTTTGGGTTAAATAACTACGGTCAATGTGGTACAGGTTCACTTGAAGATTACTACTGTCCCATGCCATTCAAGTGGGCTAAAGATACGAAGATAGTTCAGATAGCGGGCGGTCTTCATCATACGCTTATTCTGGACGATGCTGGACATGTCTACGGTTTCGGTAGGATACATTACGGTCGTCTGGGACTTGGTAAATTGGGTGAAGATGAGGATATTAAAAGTCCACAGAAGATAGAAGGTTTGGATGATGTTGAAATGATAGCAGCGGGGGGAGCCACTTCGTATGCTCTGTGTGGTACTGGTAATGCCTACGTGTGGGGTATGTCTACTAACTTGCAGCTGGGTAACGGAGACGACGAGAATGACGCCTGGGATCCCATACTTCTCACGGGGAAGCAGCTGGAAGATTCTACCCTGCATTTGGTTGGAGGGGGTGGACAGCATTCTGTTGCTTTGATCACGAGAGAGAACTGATCTTCTGGCGGGGTCGATGAAATTTGTTGTTTCACAGATTGTTCTATTTTCACTGAAACGGGTTATTTTCATTTTGAAGTCATAGTATTTATTCTTTTAATTGGATGTCTTTTTTATGGAATCAAAGGGTTTTGGCAATTAGATTTAATTATAACGTTGGATAGAAGTTAAATTAAGGTAAGTTTCGAGAATTAGGTAACTTATTTTTATTTGATTTTTAATTTCAATTTTATTTTAAAAAGTTTTAAACAATTCACTTAGCCTTCTTGTATTCAATCTACCAAATAACAATAAAAATTGATAATTAACAGGTATATTTTTACGGTAATACAGGTTATATATAATACTGACTTTTTCAACTAGGATCAATTTGACTCAAAGCACTGTATAAGTTCTACTTCTAAGAACACAAACAATTTACCTCTAGAAAAGGTAATGACGTTACCGAATGTGGTGTTCGTCCTAGGGGCACCAGGAGCCGGAAAAGGAACCCAGTGTAGCAAACTATCCAATAAGTACGGATATTCTCATCTCTCTGCTGGTGATCTACTTAGAGCAGAAGTTAAAGACGATGGTCCCGATGGCGCTTTGATTGCGGTCAGTTTTAAATTAATCCATCAATAAAAAGAAATTTTAAATTTAAAAAAAAAGTCCCGATGGCGCTTTGATTGCGGTCAGTTTAAATTATTCCATCAATAAAAAGAAATTTTAAATTATAAAAAAAAGTCCCGATGGCGCTTTGATTGCGGTCAGTTTTAAATTATTCCATCAATAAAAAGAAATTTTAAATTTTAACTCTTACCTGTATGTTAATCGTGGTGCTTTCATGATACCGGTTTACCAGGGAAATTTCATGTATAATTTCAATCCACTTTACAGGGAATAATGCTGGAAGGGAGGATAGTTCCCTCTTCGATAACAGTTAACTTACTATCACGAGCTATACAAAAGGTGAGCAGTCAAAAAACTCCAAACTCAACTTTCCTGATCGACGGTTTCCCCAGAACTCAAGAAAACTGGTCTACTTGGCAGGAGATTATAGGAGAAAAGGTATGAGTAGACATTCTAAATTCTGCAAATTCCGTTAATGCTTTGGTTGGAGGAGGAAGTTGAACATCTGTTGCTTTCTAAAAAAACTGATTTTCGTCGATGAAGTGACAGATATGATTTTGTTCAGAAACGGGTTATTTTCTACAAGTCATGTTTACAGATGTTTTTTGAATCAAAGGGTATTGGCAATTGTAGATTTTTAATTAACTGTGGAGGAAAATAAGGTAAGTTTCGAAATTTAATAATTGATTTTTAATTTCAATTATTTTAAAAGTTTAAAACATTCCATTAGCTTCTTGTATTAATCTAATAAGATACATTAATATTTATAATTAACAAATTTTTAGGTTAATACGGTTTATATATACTGATTTTCATAGGTCATCTATGACTCAACATGTATAGTTCTTTTCAAAGACACAAAAAATACTCAGAACCAGGTAAGACGTTAGAATGTGGTGTATGTTAGGGTCAGGAAGCCGGAAAGGACCCATGAGCAATCCATAATACGGATATTCTACTGGCTGGATCTACTTAGGCAGAGTTAAGAGTGGTCAAAAATGCTTGAATTGCGTCAGTTTTAAAATTATCCATTATATAAAAAGAAATTTAATGTTAAAAAAAGTCGTTCGCTTTGATTGTTTTAAATTATTATCAAAAAAAGAATTTTTAATTATAGATTAATAATTCCGAGCGTGATTCATGGTCATTTTAATTAGTTCAATTAAAGAATTTTACATTTCAACTCTTACCTGTATGTTAATCGTGTCTTTCGTATTACGTTTCAGGGAAATTTCATGTTATTGTTCAATCCATTTCAGGGATAATGCTGGAAGGGAGGATATTCCTCTTCGAAACAGTTACGACTTTTCACGAAACTATAAAAGTGACAGTTCAAAACTAACTACACTTTCTTCGCGGTTTTCCCAGACTCGAAAACGTCTACTTGAAATGTAAAGGAGCAAAAGTATGAGTAAACATTCTAAATTAATTGGGTTAAGCTTGAGAATAATTGTGAACGATTCGGTATTGAATTTCTTAAAAAATTCTAAATATTAAGTCGATGATTTGAGTGAACAGCATCAGGTATCTATAACTCCTGGATTGTGTTCAGGCAAACGTTCGGTTTATGCTGTTCTACGAGTGCTCCGAGTCAGTGTGTACAGATCGTGTGTTGAACAGACAGGATGGCAGAGTGGACGACACTGAAAAGATTGTCAAGAAAAGGATTGAAGTAAGCAGAGAACTTATATTAAACATGCGAGCTTTCGAGTGAAAATAACGGAAGTTGTTCTGCTAAAAGTTAAAAAACAAAATTATTAAGTATAGGGAATTAATGTTAAGCTCTAAATACCCGTTCGCATTGTGTCATATTATAATAATAAGATGACATTTAATATTTTTTATCAATAAACTTTCAATTGTTAGTTGTTACCGCTATATATTAGCGATCAGTGACCATCATTGTCATCCCGTCACTGAGCGCCAATGTACTGAAATTTTCATTCGTTTCAGACGTACAACATCAGCACAGTACCAGTAATAGAGGACTTTAGAACCGCTGGAATGTTACGGGTGGTACAAGCAGCAGCTCCTATTGAGCAAGTGGCTCAGGATACTGAGATATTCATGGCAGAGATCCATGACGTCCAATCTGGTGGTCAGAAATCTTGAAATTGAAATGTTGACAAAACTTGAGTTTGTTTTAGCTGGTATATAATGGTGAACACAATTTATCATTGTTATTGTTTAAAATGTTTATGTTTCATTTCATTATAGTTGAATAATTCCGAGCAATTCATTGCATGTTACGTTGAGTTAATTTACTGTTTCTACATTTCAATATTATCGCATATTTAACGAGTTTTTGTATATTTCGTTTCATTTATTGTTTATTGTTGAGAAGTATTTGCTAATGTTTACTATCTGGTTTGTTAGATATGTGCGTGGTACAAGATCGGCTCCGACTTTTCCGAACACAATATAAGATTACATTTCTACTTAGCTACCTGTCTTCCGTTTCTCTGGCCCAGACTGCCTCTACATTAAACGTAAATCTGGCAAAATATGAAAAACGGTCAAATTTTGAAGGTAGCAACCAACCATTCCTGGAATAATTTAGAACAGGAAAACAAGTTCTGAACTGAAACGCATGGTGCATCGGGGAATTATCGACTCTGAAGTCTGACAAACTCAAACTCCGATTTTATACTGCTTTACAATGTTAGCCAAAAGTAAAGTGCAGAAAAAAGCTAAGATTTTGGACGGCCCAAAGTTGATCGGATATGGTAGTTTGATCCAGTTTACTGTTAAAGTAATGGTGTTGGTTTTATCAATATTTTATTTCGATTCTATTTCATTGTTATAACTATGTATAACAAATAACTATTGAGTATTGCTATTATACAAATGTATAATCATTTATGCATAAATTTTTGAGTATGTACTAGTACTACTATAAGTATATACTACTATTTTACTTTCATTAATAATAATTCACGAAGTTTGCATCTTTTCTTGTTAAATTTTAAGTTCTATCATCTAATTTAATAAACGAAAGAGTCCCAAATTTTCTTCGTAACCATTACATTCGATCAATCGGACCAACTTAAATTATTAACTATGGAAAGGGGGATCGGAGATATCGATGAACGCCATTTTTTACTCCAAATCAAAAACGTTTATTACGATTCTGCATTTATCTGAGATTATCCGAACTAAACAGTCGATAAATTATAATGGCACGAATCCTCCTCTTCCTTGACTCAACTTACATATAAATATGAACTTATTTGCGTAGAATTTAATTTTAACCACGATCTACTTACAAAAACTCTGTAGCTACGAATTTACCTGAGAAGTACCGAGAACTCTGTAACTACGAATACGATGTACTTCTACTGTCATTGGCGTTTTGTACTCTTGATGAGATCTGCCATGATAACCAGGTCAGTGATTTTAGTTCTGTTAAAATGTTAGTTTAACATTTATTTGTTGCATGAAGTTATCGGACTAAATTTGAAGTTGAACGGTCATTTAATTCGACGCTGCACTGGAAACCCTATTTAGCGTTCATTTTAATGTCAGTTAAAAATGATGTCCGTTCAAGCAATATTGTCCGGTCAGATAAGTATAACGTCCAATAAGGCTTATTAAGTAATTTGAAAATGTCCTACCGATGGGACATTTTCATTCCATTAAAGTTTCCTCCAGATACACAGTTTCCAGTACCTTGTTGATAGCTTGATGGCGACTCGTGTCACTCGACACTCTCTTCTGCGAAATTTGGGTCGCGGAAGGCTGAATTTCAATATTAGTATTACTGTACATATTATGGACACTTTTTAAAGTATTACGAACGAAAGATTTGCAATCATTCTCCGGCCCTAAGGCCGTCGTATTTGTAACCTCCCAAAACACTAAATCTGGTGCATGACATATTCTGACGAGTTTCATGACGTATTTAAACAAGTTAAACAACTAATGTAATAAGTGCAGTGACCATACTTGAATTGCACGAATCACCAGTTTTGGTTTCTGATCTCAGACGTGACACGATGATTACATCATCTATTATAGGCCAATACTACTCTTCCTTACCACTCCTATTGGCTCCGCCACTACACACTATCCCCAACATAGCGTTCACATATTACCGTATTACGTCAGCATCCGATCACGATATTCAGATATATGTTCACATCATCCAGTTCATTCAACCATATAGCTCCTCCACCGCGTGAAACACAATTTGACGCCAGATGTTCTCCGACCAATCCGCGGATAATATCTTTGTCACGTGACAACCTTATCAACCAGTTCGATAACTTTCTCCTGTCACGTGATCCGTAGTCATGGTCACCTGTGAGATCACGTTGTTTGCTGTCACAGTCACCTGACGGGGTATATAAACGGATTACTCCGCAAGGCCGCTCATATGAAGTTTCGCTGTGTCCTAATTTTTGTGTTTTATCTGCACCAAGTGTTCTTTTAAATCACAGTCACTAGCACTACTAGAATGTATGTGTTACCTTTTCTTTGTGCAGTGCTCGCGCTCCGTCGTGAATCATTTATAATATTTCAATATCTCGTGGAACTCTAACTTGACGCGAGCACCGTTTCATTTAAACGTTATGGAATAGAAATTTACGTTGATTATGATTTAACGCTTTATTTTACGTGTTATGCTGTGAGGGCTCCGTATTGACTAATAATCTTAATAAGAACGATACCATAAGTAAGATAATACTTTATTGAGTTAACGAAAACATGCATCAGTTCACCATAGGCTTTATATCACTAAGATTAGAATCGTACTCGTAGATAACTTAACCAGGAGGAATATGTAGAAATATGTAAGAATATGTAGAAATATGTAAAAATATGTAGGACTACTAGAAAGTGGTTCTGATCAACTGATAATGGTTTAATAAACTTAAAATGAAAAAAAAATACAGGCTCAAGTCTTTATACTTTTTTCACTAGACCTACAATTACAGCTGATAAAGTAAAATATTGGAAATAAATCAATTTGTTGTGGAGGAATCACAAATCACCCTTATCTGTAGCCGTCTGATGAATATTAATTATTCATCATTAATCAATTTAGGTTAAGGTTGACATTCGAAGTGTTTATTTCAATTTTCATCACCATCGGTCACCAATACTCATTATTTCTCACATCTCAGTGCTCACTAGCGATATATTCTAGTGTACAATATTATCTCCCTGTCACTATTAAGCCTTGTATGGAATGTTCCAGGCGGCTTCAGGGCAACGCATTTTATTTGTTATTCACCGTTATTGTCTTCTCTTTTTCGGCTAAGCCCTGTTGTCTATCGTGTAGTGACTATATCTTCAAACTTAGAGTTAGAACTAAGATTGAGAACACGACAAGACTTCATAACAAGACTTCATAACAAACTCTAATAATTGGTTGATATTTATTTTTGTATTATCTATCTGCAGAACTGTCGACAGTAAAACAGTTTATTAAAAAAGCACCGTTTTCATGCCTCGCTGCTTTCCAGACTTTGATATGATTTAATAACAAGTTTAACTGTCATCTCCAATCTCCCAAGTTAGTCGTTTAGAGTTTCTGTAGCTACCGAGACACAGCTGTCAGACGTCTCTTTGATACAAATCAGTTTAAATTAGCTACGCTAAAAAACAAATTTCTGCGTCGTCACTTGAGGACTATCCTGTTGCATTGGGAATTTTCTCAGAGCATAAATTGAGGTGTGACCGTCCACTTCCACCGGTTTCAACCCTGTAAAAATGTTTTCCCCCAATACGCCCAATTCCAATTCCTGGATAAGACTGAACCAACATGAACCGTGTATCATTTCCTCTGACTCCTGACGCCACTGAGTCATGAGTAGTGTTGCAACACCTGTCGTCTGATCTTAGCCATGCATGAGAATCGAGTGAGAACATTGTGGAAACTTCTTAGGTTTTTGTCTTGTTACCTTTGATTATGTCCGACGACTCCTTTATACTTGATACTGTTTCGCGATCTCATTTGCAAACTTTCGTCTCACAAAGCTCTGCACCGCAATATATGACCCTTTATACGGCTACACTGCTTCAGGAAATGCGAATTCTAAACTTGTGTCTCCATCAATATAATTTTCGTATTCATATTCAAAATCCCTCAGCACACGCGTCTTTACTCTAACTTTATACGTCTACAATATAACAGTAAACCCCCGATTCACCGTGCCTCGACTTTACCATAGACCCCAATTTACCGCGGCTGTTTCCTTTCCCCCAAACTCCGCGGTACATCAATAATAATCTGTTGTTAATGTTTGGCAGTGAGTTTTAACGACTTATTGCTTTATTGGCATAACTAGAGTCTAGACCATGTGATGTACAAGGAGCACAATAATTTATACTTCCTCTATATAAGTATACACAATGTACGGTATACACACAGTGGTAACAGTGTTACCATGGTAACACCAGTGTTCTATGGTCCGGTGCGCGTGATCTTTTTGTTTTAATTGTGTGGTGTCCTCTCACAAAAGTCTGGTGTCCTCACAAAGTGGTTTTTTTGTTTTACTCGGGTTTAGTTTCGAAAGTGAGCGTGTTTGATGTGTAAAACTTTCTGCCTCGTATATATTCAATATTCATCCGTTAAATGTCTTCGTGTAAATCAAGTAATTCTACACTTAGGGTTCGCTTCGATGAACAATGAAATGAGAAAATTCCTTAATCTTTTTTAAACTGCTGCCCACATTTTAACAATTTTATCCGTCGGTTGAGCGCCCAACAGCTCATACAGCCATGAAGACTATGAAGGTTAATTAACTTCTTATTACCATTGTAACTGCTGGGATAATTATAGGCTTCCTGAAATAAGTTCAGCTCAACGTGTGGCGCAGTATTTGTCGTTTATACATTGCTAACTAATAGTACTAATTGTAGGGTAATGTTTTACGCTTCATTTTGATGTTCGGCAACTAGTTTTTAAAAAGTTCGTTGAATTCGGCACATTTTTTCAGTTCGGCAAAATTTTCGGCATCTAAATTTTCCTGATTCACTATTTTTCTAAATGGAATCGAGTACAGTTAGAGACAAAAAGTGCAAAAAGTCCTTTCCATGAACTCCGCGGTAAATCAGGGTTTTTCTGTATAACCTTGTAAGACTTGTTTCACTACTAGTACACTATAACTAGTAATAGTATCTATAAATGATATGGAACAGTCTGGGCTCCTTTCATTAAACCAAAACAATTAGATGTTTAATATTTTTAAAATCCATTTTTCTTATAAACTTAATGGGTATTGGCAGTCATCTAAGTAACGTAAATCCGATTGACTGCACAGAATCGTTGATGAATATACCACGGTATAAATCATCATAAAAATTCTTCGAAAGAGTGTAGTATTCTAAATTCCCTAATGCGTTCACATGGTCCATATCGACTGACCAGTAATATAACCCCACTCTTTTTAGTATGATACTTTTAACAGCTCTTCTGGTTTTTCCCGCAATCTTTCATGTTATAGGTGAGATATGGTATCATCATGAATAATAATGAGGATGTACGATGCATAGGAGTAATTGAAACCAAATCGTCGAGACAACTTTCAAAAATTAAACTTTTATTAAGAATTAAACTTTTATTAAAAAGCATTTCATCCTTCAAGTTCATCCTTATTTATATTGTAAACTTACTTCTCAAGCTTAAAATAATTTTTTTTCAGAAACAAGTGACTGTAAGTCAAGGAGGGAATTGCAAAGAACGGTCAGCAATATAACCGCTGTGAGTTCAATTCTGACATTTTTCTTCATGAACGTAAAAATATGTACATTTATTTAAATTTCAAACAATTTGAATTTGGTGAATATTAACCAAACGGAGTCGTATAAAAAGTGAATCCTAAAAATAATATTATTCAATGGACAAAATAAGCCATAAAACGTTAAAAACAGACGTAAACGGGAAAATGATAGCGATCAAATGAATCAGTTATTCCTGACAAACCAGTTACAAACATTTGCGAAGCTTCTAGTTCTTTAAGTAAAGTTAATGTAATTACTGAACAAGAATTTCGCCATTGCAAATGTAAAAGTCTATTGATAATGATGGTGATCTGCATTATAACTGAGCCAATAAATGCTTCAAAATTGCCATCTTCGAGAATAAACTGTTTCAGCGAGTAACCTTGAGGTTGTCCACAAATAAAATCATGTACTCAATTGACCTTCGTTGTTTCTCAACATGAGGTTGATGCCTTTTTGTTCCATAAGGTACTTGGCAACTTTATTTCGATGGCACATAAGTTCAACAGTAGTAACAGCCTTGTGAAATCTCCGGCTTTATCTGTAGCATTGGTATCAATACCAGCTTCCTTGCATAACCAGCGCACACTGTCTAATTTACCTCTATACCTGTAATCTGTATAGGCAGCTCTATGTAGAGTTGTCATCCCATCTGCTCCCTTATTGTTCACATCTGCACCATGTTATTTCATACATTCTAGTTTACCCTTCAACGCAGAGTGGTCCAGTGCTGTGTTTTTGTAATCATCTCTAGCGTGTATGTCTACACCATCAGTTTTACGTAACCAGCGAACACATTCCAAGTGACCATCATCTGCTGCTAAATGTAGAGGTGTCATACTATTCTGTCCCTTACTATTTATATCTGCACCTCTTGTATAGAGTTGTTTCATACATTCTAGGTTACCCTCCAACGCAGCGTAGTGCAGTGCTGTGTTGTTGTAATCATCTCCGGCGTGTATGTCTACACCGACATTGTCACATAACCATATCACACAGTCTATGTGACCTCTACTTGCTGCATTATGTAGAGGTGTACTCTTATTCCTCCCCTTACTGTTCACATCTGCACCATGTTGACAGAGGTATTTCATACAGTCTAGTTTACCCTCCAACGCAGCGTAGTGAAGTGCTGTGTCCTTGTAGTCATCTCTAGCGTGTATGTCTACACCGACATGGTCACATAACCAGCGAACACAGTCCAACGTACCATCATCTGCTTTTATATATAGATGTGTCTTACTATTCTGTCCCTTACTATTTATATCTGCACCTTTTTTATAAAGGTATTTCATACATTCTAGTTTACCATTCGCCGCAGCTAGGTCCAGTGCTGTCTCTTTGTTCCTATTCCTAGCATGAATGTATGCACCTTGATCACAGAGGTAGCTCACACAGTATATGTGACCTCGTAATGCTGCACTATGTGGAGGTGTACTCTTACACTTCCCCTTACTGTTCACATCTGCACCATGTTCACAGAGGTATTTCATACAGTCCAGTTTTCCCTCCAACGCAGCGTAGTGCAGTGCTGTGCTGTTGTCATTATCTCCAGCATGTATGTCTACACTGGCAGTTTCACATAACCAGCGAACACACTCTATGTGACCATTATATGCTGTTAAATGTAGAGGTGTACTCTTATTCTGTCCCTTACTATTTATATCTAGACCTTTTGTATAGAGGTATTTCATACATTTTAGTTTACCCTTACACGCAGCGAAGTGCAGTGCTGTGTTGTTGTTCCTATTCCTAGCATAAATGTATGTACCTTTTTTATAGAGGTATTTCAAACATTCTAGTTTACCATTCGCCGCAGCTAGGTGCATTGCTGTCTCCATGTTCCTATTCCTAGCATTTATGTATGCACCTTTTTTATAAAGGTATTTCATACATTCTAGTTTACCATTCGCCGCAGCTAGGTGCAGTACTGTCTCTTTGTTCCTATTCCTAGCACGAATGTATGCATGAATGTGTACACGAATGTCATCACAGAGGTAGATCACACATTCTAGTTTACCATTCGCCGTAGCTAGGTGCAGTGCTGTCTCTTTGTTCCTATTCCTAGCACGAATGTCTGCACCTTGATCACAGAGGTAGCTCACACAGTCTATGTGACCTCTTTTTGCTGCACTATGTAGAGGTGTACTCTCACCCTTCCCCTTACTGTTCACATCTGCACCATTTTTACAGAGGTATTTCATGCATTCTAGTTTACCATTGAACGCTGCAAGGTGCAGTGCTGTGACCTTTTCATTATCTCCAGAGTGTATGTCTACACCAACAGTTTCACATAACCAGCGCACACAGTTGAAGTAACCATTATATGCTGCTAAATGTAGAGGTGTCTTACTATTCTGTCCCTTACTATTTATATCTGCACCTCTTGTATAGAGTTGTTTCATACATTCTAGGTTACCCTCCAACGCAGCGTAGTGCAGTGCTGTGTTGTTGCAATCATCTCCAGCGTGTATGTCTACACCGACATAGTCACATAACCATATCACACAGTCTATGTGACCTCTGTTTGCTGCATTATGTAGAGGTGTACTCTTATTCCTCCCCTTACTGTTCACATCTGCACCATTTTTACAGAGGTATTTCATACAGTCCAGTTTACCCTCCAACGCAGCGTAGTGTAGTGCTGTGTCCTTGTAGTCATCTCTAGCATGTATGTCTACACCGACATGGTCACATAACCAGCGAACACAGTCCAACGTACCATCATCTGCTTTTATCTGTAGAGGTGTCTTACTTTTCTGTCCCTTACTATTTATATCTGCACCTTTTGTATAGAGGTATTTCATACAGTCTAGGTTACCATTCGCCGCAGCGTAGTCCAGTGCTGTATTTTTGGTCCTATTCCTAGCATGAATGAATGCACCTTTTGTACAGAGGTAGCTCACACAGTCTATGCGACCTCTTTTTACTGCATTATGTAGAGGTGTCATCCCATCTGCCCCCTTACTGTTCACATCTGCACCATGTTCACAGAGGTATTTCATACAGTCTAGTTTACCATTCGCCGCAGCTAGGTGCAGTGCTGTGACTTTGTCATCATCTCTAGCATGTATGTCTGCACCTTGATCACAGAGATAGGATAAAATCTGCACGTCTCCAACCTCAGCGGCAAGCAGAAATATTATCCTCTTTCCTCCGGTTGTCTTTTGTAGAATCGATTTTAGATTAACATTGCCAGCACTTTCACACAATCTTTGTATTACCACAAAATCTCTTTGTTTCACTGCTTCACTCAGATCTTCAGCCTGGTAGTTAATAATATTATTAGGGGGGGGGGGGGTTGATTGAACATCACCTCAACATGCCCAAAACCCAGATTTACAGGTAAAGTTCAGAATTTGACCGCCTTATTTTCATAGAAGCCTTAATGGAACAAGAATTGCGCCCGTTGTTTCGTTCTGGCGGACGCTAGATTTCCATTCACTTCTACTACAAGCTATAATCAGCTCACTTCATAATATAAACATTATGTTTTAAATAGGGAAACATTTGTGATTCAATTCAATTGCCGTAGAACTTAATTTTTATTCTCTAATTTAAGAAAGGCAGTATCCAGATAGCCCGTCCCCTGTTCGCCGCACAGTTGTTCGCAAACACCTGTTCGTGTTACCAGATCATATGACTGCATAATAACAGTAACCCCTTGACACTGAATCAAGCAGGGTTCACATCGTCGCAAGCACGGTTGGTTCACATGATCGCACGCGAATTTCAATCAGCGGTGTCAATCTGTCTATCTGGAGACTTCGAGGACGAGCAGGGAACCAGGGACATAGAGGCGTTACACCCAGGACAGGACATGGAGCTCTTTAGGAGGTTTTTCTGGAATAGGAAGTCTCGAGCATTCTCTAGGAGGTCGTGTGTCCATGAATTTCGTCTTATAGACAGAAGAGTACCAAGCCAGGAATTGGAATAGTTGTTGTTGTTGATGATGATGGCAACTGATAATACTCCATCAAAAACTAACGACTTATATACCACATTTAAATCGTAATCAATATTTTGATCCAGTAATTTACTACGCTACAATTAATGGCAAATTATGCTAGTCGTAATTAATTTCATCCAATACATACCATTCAATTTCATAACATTGGCGGTCATATGATCTGGTAACCAATCAACTGTTTACGAACACCTGTTCGCGAACAGGGGTCGGGCTATCTGGATACTGTCTTAAGAAATTGTAAGCAAAAAGTGAACTAAACTCATGTTTTATAATTGTACACATCAGTAAACTATACTATTACTACGCATAACGGCTAACGCATGTCGCATACAAATTGGGCTTATTGCCTGATAAGCCAAATACATTAAAAACACACGCGCCGCGCATACACTTACTACTACTATTACTACAGGCTATACATCACACCCCGCAAGCAATCGTCGCGCGGTGCGCGCGGCAAATTGACATGGTAACGAACGGAAGTAAGGAATGACAACATATTTAAACCCACCCACCTCGTTCTCCAAAATCCACGTTTTTCTGCAAAAACGACCGTTCGTAACCTTTCACAATTGCTTTTTTACAAAAGCGTGTGAATGGAAAAAATACGTTAAGTGTGAAATATAACGGTCTCATGGTTTATCAAATTTGGCACGTATGCCTAATTATGGGCATATGGTTTTTGACCCAGATTAACTCAGCCATTTTTGTCCAATCAACAAATTAGTATAACAGTAGTGGTGCAATGATATTATCTCTGGACTTTCGCATAGAAAATACCCCGGCTTCGTGGGGTCCACGGATTTATTTCGATACAGCTATCGAATCGTCATTTAAAATGTAGATTCCCAGGCCCAGCCAATTTTATAATTCTGCCACCGTGCCTTTTAGGGTTATGGTTTATTGTTTTATTGTTTCCTTGCTTACTGAATAAGTCTGTAAAAGTCTACGATCTGAACTTTGAAGAATTTTCTGGGGTTAAGAGAAAATGTTCTAAAAATAATCCAAAATTGTTGACACAAACTTAACTAGATTTATGAATTATGATCCCTCATTGTAAGATTTCATTCCTGAAAGTAATTTTCCTTGTATCTACATTCTCTTTTTGGATCACATTTATTTCACAATCGTTGCTGGCAGGCCCTTATAACTTATTGTAGATTTAAATGTGGCAAAAACGCAAAACATTTTCCGAGGCTCGAATTCTAGACCTACTCCTCGATATACGATATTGGAATCGTCGCTGACTCTTTGTAATGCGATCTCGAAGGGCAGGCCTCCCCTTATCCCCTATGCAATACGAGTTCGGAAGCGGGAAGTCTGCTTTTAGAGGTACGTATCGAGAATGACTCGGGCCGAAAATTTTCAAAAACTTTCAAATTTTTCTAAAATTCTAAGTAATTAATTTCTCCAGTGTTCATGTTACTTGAGTATGAGAAAATAAACATATTGGAGATGTCACATGCGTAATTCGGTGTTCAATCACTCAAGGGTTTTTCAATTTTCTCCATAGAAAAAGTCTCAAATTTATGCCATTGCCCGGTGCCCCCCCCCCCCCCTGCTGTGTTTGATCCCAGTTCTGAATTGTATAAAATATGTCAGAGACTTACTTTAATGTCTATTGTTGACGGCCGTAACAGAATCATGATAAGAACATCGAGTGAAAATCTCGTGACAGAACAACAACACGTGATGTCATCCTTAAATTAGGATAAAGAAATCAATTATTAAACGTTGCGAATCACAAAACTCATTAATTGCACTCAATATAAATTTTTAAATAAAAAGCACACCTTCCCCATTGCGTGTATCACCTAAAAAGTATGATAGAATTCAAAGTAATCAGAGAAACGCTATAACTGAATAACGATGATCTCAATAAAACGAATCTCACAAAGTAGAGTATAGACTGTAGAAGGAACATGATATGTGTAATATTATTTTCTGTGAGGCATAAAATATGTGAGTGTGAGTCACTAGTCGCATATCATTATTGTGTGGGTCGGGGGAGCAGCGAGGAACTACATTTTTATTATATTACACAAACAAGTTTCTACAAAAGTAAGTAAATTGTTGAGATACACTTGGAATTTGATGAATGATCTCATTGAGACATTCAGGACAAATATATAATATATATTGAAGAAATAGAACTAATTATACTTCAATTTCCAAGCACAGTCTACTAGCACACAAATAAGAAGCAATGTCAACCTCACTGGTTTGTTAACAATAATGTTTCTGTATCCGGAAAAAAACATTATCTTTTATCAAAAGGCATAGTAGGTTGTGGACATAAAACATGTTGAGATATTATTCTATAAGCTGAGTGTCAACTGACCTGTCCTCGACCTTCAGCCGGGATACTACGAAGTGCAATGTGACTCGGAGGACGAGAACAAGTACGTGCCTAAGCAGTGCTGGCCGAGTACCGGGCGGTGCTGGTGTGTAGACACCTACGGCGAGACCATCCCCGGCACTCACGTTAATCCAGGACAACCAGCTCCTGCTTGTGGTCAGTTTCATTTTCACTTTCTGTTTTTTGAGTCAATTACTGAGGTATACCTTTGGTTTGGGGTTTAAAGGTCAGGTGAGATCAAACATGATAGTGGAGATGTTACTGACATGGATTTCTAGATTATGCACTCTTTAATGAAGATCATTATTTTCAGGAACGTTTGGACACTGTACTGCAGCTGAGCAAGAGCTTTTGAAAGGTCTTGAAAACAAGGTAATTTCACTTCAAATTACTTCCTCCGTTAAGATAACACATAGTTAAGAAATTCGGCAAGTTTCCATAAACGATATTTTATTATCGGCGCCAATAATCGCTCATTGGGCGCTTTCTCGGCGCTTTTTAAAAAAAAACCCGTTTACAATCGCTTTTTTTACGATTATAAACGGTTCAAAAAAATCGCTTATAATCGACTATAATTGATGTCATAATTCAAAAAAGCGCTTTTTTTAATTTAAAAGCGCTTATAAGCGCTTTTAAGCGCTTACTAGCGTCGCTGAGCGATTTTAAAGCGGTTTTCCAGTAGGATTGGCGCCAAAAACGGGTGGATAAGCGGTTGGCCGGATAAGCGATTCGTAGGCGCTTTTTTGAACCATTTATAAGCGATTATAAGCGCTTATAATTGGGGTGCAATTTAGCTGTCTGTAAAGCGCAAATAAAGCGCTTATAAGCGCTTTTAAAATTGAGTCAGGAAAACGCTATATTACATCTTATAACCGCTTATGATCGATTATAAGCGTTTTTTTAGAAATCGCTTATTACGGCTAATTCATCGCTATTTTACCGCTTTTACCGCTTTTCCTATCATCCATGGCCAGGTGAGCACTGAGCAGGAATTAAAAAGCGCTTATAAGCGATTTTTCGATGCTGCCCCTAACCTGGTCGGAACGGGGTGGTGCCCGGAATTAAAAAGCGCTTATAAGCGATTTCTCAATTCCCCATTACCTGGTCGGAACTGGAAATCAGAGTGCCCGCTTATAAGTGCTTTTCTGTGCAACCTGGGATGCACCGGCAGAGTCAGGATTTAAAAGCGCTTATAGGCGCTTGTGATCGTTTTTCTACCCCTTTTCCTATCACCCATGGCCTGGTTGGCAGGAATTAGAAAGCGCTTATAAGCACTTTTTCAATGCTGCACCTAACCTGGTCGGAACAGGGGAGTGCCCGGAATTAAAAAGCGCTTATAAGCGATTTCTCAATTCTCCTTAACCTGGTCGGAACTGGAAATCAGAGTGCCCGCTCGCGCTTATAAGTGCTTTTCTGTGCAACCTGGGGTGCACCGGCAGAGTCAGGATTTAAAAGCGCTTATGATCGCTTTTCTACCGCTTTTCCTATCACCCATGGCCTGGTTGGCAGGAATTAGAAAGCGCTTATATAAGCGCTTTTTTAATGCTGCACCTAACCTGGTCGGAACGGGGGAGTGCCCAGAATTAAAAAGCGCTTATAAGCGATTTCTCAATTCTCCTTAACCTGGTCGTAACTGGAAATCAGAGTGCCCGCTTATAAGTGCTTTTCTGTGCAACCTGAGGTCACCGGCAGAGTCGGACACTTTCCTTGTAAGTCTATGAGTAAGCTCATCAATTTTTGTTGCAATCGGAGGTCGGGAAGGATACTCAATATCTATTTGTTTGAAGAAAATTGTGCTGGCCGAAATTAGCGCTAAAAAACCATCCTACTATACCAGTCGGCACGCGCGGCTCACTGTCGATGGCGCACTACCTATCTGGATATGGGATAGAGCAACGGCAGCACGAAGGCACATGGTTAGGTGCAAAATAATCGAACATGCAGAAACTCTTTGCTTTATTGCATTGTATATCATTATCATGTGTACCGGTACGCTTATTTTTATATAAAAACTGGCTCTTGCTAATTCGCTCGCCCAAAAATTTCACGTGACCTTGGTTTTTATGGTTTTGCGGTCGCAACCCTAACCCTAACCATTACCCCGAAGCTATCCATAACCCGCGTACCACAACCCTAACCCTAACATGAGTCCTAAACTAGGGGGTGCACCATAAAAATAAACTTGCTCGGATTTTAAAAATTTTTGTACCATTGTTTTCTAGAGACTGTGAGAATTTTCACAATACCAAATTTGTCATACATTTTTGGAAAGATCAGTGAGTTTCGCCGAGGTGCCATATTTGATGGTGCGCGGCTTTTGGAGCAAAATTAGCTGTAAAAGTCGCGTAATTTGACCTAATTTGACCAAATTCGTTGATTTTTGTCGTATTATTTGGATTTATCTTCAGTTCCTTGAATGAGATCATTCTGAAAATTGGCGACGACCTTCCAATAGGGCTTTCACAACTGTCCGAAAAATTTGGTGGATATCAGAGTTGATATAGTGATCAAAATGGGGCAAAATACGCTGCTTTTAGCTGTAACATAATGTCTGATGGTTGGATATGCTTTAAACTTTTCTTGATTGACGATGTCAATCCGTCGAGATCGTTCGATGCGAAGCAGAGCAACGATCGTCGACGATCGTTCGATGCGAAGCAAGAATGCTAGTTCGCGTCGAAGCAGCGAAGTCCTCCAAAACTTTTCGGACACTTTCCTTGTAATTCTATGAGTAAGCTTACCAATTTTTGTTGTAATCGGAGGTCGGGAAGGATACTTAATATCTATTTGTTTGAAGAAAATTGTGCTGGCCGAAATTAGCGCTAAAAAACCATCCTACAGTCGGCACGCGCGGCTCACTGTCGATGGCGCACTACCTACCTAAACAATCGAAATCATGTTTTACTAGCCTGTCACGTGACTAAAACGGTTTTTGCCCATTTAACTCTCCAGGGAAGTATTTTTACCCTACATCATGGCGGGTGATTCGTTGAACTTGACATACGTTGCATGCCACTTTTCGCAAGGCGGAAAAATATATTATCATATTATCTCTGATATTGGGATAAGAAACATGTATCAAGTGATTCGGGATCAGCGTCCAAAAATACACCGATTCAGATCAATATCATACCCAAAGGGCCTTTTCACAAGAATTTTCTTAAAATTTGGGCGAGCGAGCGATTTCGTAGGAGCGACTCAAACGCGCAAGCTGGCGCGGTTTATTTGTTGCAGTTTTACTATCTAATAACCAGATTTTGCAAGCTATCTCAGCACTCAGCACGCGCGCGGCTTTTCTAGCGTATACATCACTTTTTTTCCTATTGGTACTCAGCGTGCACGTGTTTTTTATGTCCACGATCGATTATGAACAAGTACGTGAATGCTTGTCATGCACACACTAACTTTCAATGAGCACCGCACTTTTTCAGACGTCGTGATTCGCTCAGCCCGACTAGAGATTCCGTGGAATGACATGAACAGGCCTGTCATACTCGTTGACAGGCTGAGCGTGGCCCAGCGCAATAATTTAATTTCATATACTATACTTTTCTTTTGCAAGTTCTGAATGTGAAGTGTGTACGACTGATGACGCAGCGCGCATCGACCGCCACCAAGACGACCGCCACCATTAACAACATATAAATAAACACTTGCAAGCGCTTTATAATTTCTGACAATTATTGTCGGAGAACTTTGCTGCACCGTGCACTTAGCCTTCTTGCTTGGCTTCTAGATCGCCAGTCTGAGTCAAACAACTATGTTTAAATCCATGTTGATAAATGATAGATAAAGCGGTAAAAACCAGTAATAAAAAGTGATTGTAATCGCTTATAACCGCTTTCCAAATCCTGACTCCCGCCAGTGAATGACAGGTTTAGGGGCATCGAGAAAAGCGCTTATAAGCGCATTTAAATTCCGTGCACCCCAGGTGAACGGATGTTCAGATTTGTGCTTATAATTGTAAGTTTATAACTTACCAGGACGCGCGCCGAGTTTGACTCAACGTAATATTTGAAACAAATATTTTACGAGTATCGCCCGTTAAGCTTACAAGCGCTTTCTAATTCCTGGCACTCTCCCTTATAAGCGCTTTATAATTTCGGGTACTCCCCCGTTCCGACTAGGTTAGGGGCAGCATTGAAAAAGCGCTTATAAGCGCTTTCTAATTCCTGCCAACCAGCCCATGGGTGATGGGAAAAGCGGTAGATAAACGATCATAAGCGCCTATAAGCGCTTTTAAATCCTGACTTTGCCGGTGCACCCCAGGTTGCTCAGAAAAACACATACGAGTGGGCACTCTCCAGTTCCGACCAGGTTGAGGGGAATTGAGAAATCGCTTATAAGCGCTTTTTAATTCCGGGCACTCCCCCGTTCCGACCAGGTAAGGGGCAGCATTGAAAAAGCGCTTATAAGCGCTTTTTAATTCCGGGCACCACCCCGTTCCGACCAGGTTAGGGGCAGCATCGAAAAAGCGCTTATAAGCGCTTTTTAATTCCTGCTCACCTGGCCATGGATGATAGGAAAAGCGGTAAACGCGGTAAAATAGCGATGAATTAGCCGTAATAAGCGATTTCTAAAAAAACGCTTATAATCGATTATAAGCGGTTATAAGATGTAATATAGCGTTTTCCTGACTCAATTTTAAAAGCGCTTATAAGCGCTTTATTTGCACTTTACAAACAGCTAAATTGCACCCCAATTATAAGCGCTTATAATCGCTTATAAATGGTTCAAAAAAGCGCCTACGAATCGCTTATCCGGCCAACCGCTTATCCACCCGTTTTTGGCCCCAATCCTACTGGAAAACCGCTTTCAAATCGCTCAGCGACGCTAGTAAGCGCTTAAAAGCGCTTGTAAGCGCTTTTAAATTAAAAAAAGCGCTTTTTTGAATTATGACATCAATTATAGTCGATTATAAGCGATTTTTTTTGAACCGTTTATAATCGTAAAAAAAGCGATTGTAAACGGTTTTTAAAAAAAAAAGCGCCGAGAAAGCGCCCAATAAGCGATTATTGGCGCCGATAATAAAATATCGTTTATGGAAACTTGCCAGAAATTCAAACTAAATTAAAACATGACGAGGCATTAGTCTCTAGGATTTCTATTTATTCTAAAAATAACGGAGCTCAACTGGATTCTGATTGTGCCCCTGAAAATGGTAAATTATGAGTATGTAGCATGAATATAATTGTATACTATAACAGTATAAAACGTGTTTAATATAGCGTATCTTAAGATGCCACCTATGGGAGCCTACATGCCGATATGTGACGAATCCGGGAACTACGCCAAGTCACAGCGCTGGGGTAGCACCGGCCAGTCGTGGTGTGCGTCAGTCAATGGTAACAGGGTGCCTGGTACAACTACAGGACCTATTGAACAGGCATGGGATTGCGGTAAGTTAATTGTATGACTTACCTCTGATAAAAGCTATTTTACACCCTAATATACGGTTATCAGGATGTAAAATTTATCCATTTAAAGTCAATGGTTTATTTTTTAAACGTCGAATCAGTTGAATCCACATGCATTACTATTATAATCAATTCATAAGTCGAATATACAGGGTGGGCCAAAAGTCAGTGGGCATACGTTGGCCTTAATAGCTCAGTCACTGAGTGCCCAATTGAAATAATTCTTTCTAGTATGACTTACTTCCACCACTGGTTCGAGGAATTTGTCAAATCGAAAAATATTCGACTTAAATTTTTTCAAATGAAGGTTAATTTTTGCATTTATTTGATAGTTTGGATAGTCGGATCGAGCTAAATTTTATTGAATTGTATTTGGCCATTCATATTACGTTTGTCCTGAAAAAATTAGAACTGTAGCTTCTCGGATGACCGAGATATGAAGCATATCGAGTTTATTCATGTTACTTGTGATCAGGTGATTGGTTTACCTAATCATGTGATTAGGTGACCCCGTTAAACACCCCATTAAACCTTATGGGAATTGTTAAGGGTGCCCAATTAAGGTGTCGTGTCAAGGTGTCACATAATCACCCAATCAATTTTGTTAACGAGATACAGAAAATGCTTGATAACTTCGTCATTTCTAATCCGTTTTGCCTCATGTTTTCAGATCATCTGCAACATTTAATAATCTACCATCTTTGAAAAAATGAGGCGTTCAGCATGTTCAGAGAAAGCAATATAGTTGTTTTGATATTGAATGGGCGTTGTCTAAAATATTCAAATTTTCAAATTTTGACGACGGAATCCTCGAACCAGTAAGTACAGTACGCCATCTGCAAAGCAACAGCTCTCAAATATAAAACACGGCGGAGCTATTAAGGCCAAGGTATGCCCACTGACTTTTGGCCCACCCTGTACTATAATATACTATATACCAACAGTGCCCCCCCCCCCCCCTGTAGTTACATAATGTAAACACACTTCGATTCACCCCGAACCCCAGTTTACCGCGGCTGTTTCCTTTTCCCCAAACTCCTCGGTGGTCTAACTGTACCAGCTACCATTATCTATTAACATCCCCAGAGAACCTACCAGCGTGCCTAGATAAGGAAGCCTCTCTGGCTCACCTGCTGGTGGAAAATATTTACCCCTTTGGGCTGGACCGGCCGGAATGTGACGGGGAGGGAAAGTTCGCACCCACACAGTGTCATGGTAGTACCGGTCATTGCTGGTGCGTGGATACCGAGAGTGGCCAGGAGATCGAGGGTGGGTGTCAGTTTTCAGTGTTGTTTCAACTTGATAATTAATAATGAGCCTAATGAGGAGAGAAAATTGTTTTATTGTAGTTGTACCGTTTGGACTCTAGTATTTAAATTTGGATTATTTTTACGGTCTTTTGTCTTTAGAAGTATCACCTTTTTTTAGTTCTCTCACTTTTAGGCGTTTATCAAATAGATACGATCTAGAACCATAATACGACTTTTGATCGAAACTATTCTTTTGAAATAATAGACCATTACTGAGTGTTGCGTTGACACACGTGTTAAATTGCCACGTGTTAAATTGTCACGTGTTAAATTGACACAGATACCAGACAAGGACCCGGTGAAGGGGACGGTCCTCTGGACTGTGTTAAAGCTATAGATAAAAACACATTTGACGAGGCTACCGCAAGCTCTTGTCAGAGACTCTTTAACGCGCAGATGAAACATCTTAACAGCTTCGAACGCCCTCTACTTGGTGAGTTGTGTTTTTATTTTTGTTAGCGCTTTTCAAATTCAGCTGTCTCAGAGAAGTTTGGGATTCGTTTTGAAAACTTTGGTTAGTCTTCAGAAGCAATTTTACATTCTACAACCAAGTATGATTTTATGAATCAAGTAACGATTACCGGTACATTTCAGGTTTCTGGAGTATAAAGTGTGAGGAAGACGGTAGTTTCTCCCCCTCTCAGTGTCACCCCAGCACTGGACACTGCTGGTGTGTTGATGAGTTTGGTAATGAGCTTCCCGGATCCAGGTCCACTCCTGGGTCTCCTCGTGTTCCTTGCCTCAAAAGTTAGTACTTGCTTGTTTAATAGAGCTTTATTAATTATCTAGCTGGCAACTCACGAGAGAAAATAAAAATTAATAAAAAATATCTTAGCACAACAATCAATTTGATGGGACTTTACTAGTCATCAACCAATGCTAGCATTAAAACTCTTTAAACAATAATATTTGTTCAGAGCAACCCACGTGCTCTGAACGTAAAGCTGATCTTGATAAAGAAATAGAGGATTTCATGTTCATTGGAATGTTCAGCCCCAAGTGTGATGAGGATAGTAGTTACATGGTAAGTGCTACGTGACAACAGAGGTACCATTTATTAGGCACGGACAATCTTCACAGATTTGAATATTTTTATTACAAAATTACACATGATAATTCAAAATAACGTACTATAAGTTTTAACAACTGTAGCCTGCAGTGAACGGTACTTATATACCGGGACTACTGCGCTATTAATACCTCTCATTCCGCGACCATGTTATCTAACTATTTCTTATCTCCCTCTTATCACAGACAAAGCAGTGTTGGCCGAGTACTGGGCAGTGTTGGTGTGTAACTAAAACAGCCGGTACTGAGATAGCTTACACCCGACGGGGACCAACCCAGAAACCGGACGAGTTGGACTGCTCGGGAGTTTGTACGTTTTCTTCTAACTCTTTTTTTTTTTCTCCGTTAAATCGTAATTTAAATTGGCATAGTTTTGGATTTGCGCCATTATAAAAGTTGAGCCCGTATTACCCCACTTTGCACCCTTTAATTAAAGCCTTTTCCCCTCTATACTTCTATAATCTACATAATACTAATAGTCTGTATACCCCTCTTTAGTCTACATAATAGTCTGTATACTCCCTATATAGTCTATACAATAGTCTGTATACCCCATCTATAGTCTATACAATAGTCTGTATAATATACATTTATCACATGCCTTCTCATGCGATATCAAAACTTTCGCCCACGAGGCTTGCCGAGTTAGCGAAAGTTTCGATATTTCCCGAGGCTTGCCGAGGGTTATATCGACATTTTCAATCACGAGGCTTGCCGAGTTTTGAAAATGTTGATATCGCTTGAGAAGGCATGTGATTAATGTTTTATCACACTTTCTTTGGAGCCAAATTTGGCCGGGAAAGCAGAATTTGATCAAACGTTAGTTATAAATCTCACCAAAGCAAAACTAGACATGTCGAACTTATTTATGTTTATAATGTCCAAGCTATATATTATATATAGCTCTCGATAAGTTAGTATTTCAGATATTAAAGTTACAATACGTGAAATTAGAATCTCGCGTTTCACATTTATGAAACAGTGAATGCTGTGTGCCGCGCTGAATTTGCTTTGTACTGCTACCTAGTGCATGCAATATTAATGTGTTTTCCGCCTATGGGTCTTGTACTTATGAGTCTAGAATATTCCGCCGCGAGCGCGTTTGATACGTAATTACATCCTGCAAATCAATTGATGTGAGGTGATTCTAATACTTTATTTCTATTAGATATTTTTAGAGTCATTAAAAGTGTAGATGCAGTATAATGTATAGAACATCCGTTTAAGTGTTGATAATACATCTCAGTCCTTATCGTATAATCTGTATCTGCGATAAGGTGAAAGAATTTCCTGGTTGTTAAATTTACATAGAGCTGTGGCGCCATGATTGTCTATTTATCAGTCCACATTATACACTGCACACCCTAATTTACACCAACAATATTATCTTCCGTCTTGATTCTTGATTGTCTGTTATTTCAGAATGATTTAATCAATGCAACTTGTAATCGTTGACTTAGAATTTTATCAAGTATTCTGCTTAGTTCTTAGTCAGTATACATCTTTACTTGCCATTATTTGCCATTATTTGGAGCCAAATTTGGCCTGGAAAGCAGAATTTGATCAAACGTTAGTTATGAATCTCACCAAAGCAATACTAGACATGTCGAACTTATTTATGTTTATAATGTCCAAGCTATATATAGCTCTCGATAAGTTAGTATTTCATATATTAAAGATACAATACGTGAAATTAGAATCTCGCGTTTCACATTTATGACACAGTGAATGCTGTGTGCCGCGCTGAATTTGCTTTGTACTGCTAGTGCTACCTAGTGCATGCAATATTAATGTGTTTTCCGCCTATTGGTCTTGTACTTATGAGTCTAGAATATTCCGCCGCGAGCGCGTTTGATACGTAATTACATCCTGCAAATCAATTGATGTGAGGTGATTCTAATACTTTATTTCTATTAGATATTTTTAGAGTCATTAAAACTGTAGATGCAGTATAATGTATAGAACATCCGTTTAAGTGTTGATTATACATCACAGTTCTTATCGTATAATCTGTATCTACGATGAGGTGAAAGAATTTCCTAGTTCTTGTATTTGAATAGAGCTGTGGGGTCATAATTAGTGTCTATTTATCAGTCCACATTATACACTACACTCTCTAATTTACATCAACAATATTATCGTCCGTCTTGATTCTTGATTGTCTGTTATTTCAGAATGATTTAATCAATGCAACTTGTAATCGTTGACTTAGAATTTTATCAAGTATTCTGCTTAGTTCTTAGTCAGTATTCATCTTTACTTGCCATTATAAATTATTTGCCATTATCTGCTTCGAGCTAGAAATTATCTGAACTGGAAATTATCAGAACATTTGTAATATTCAAATGTATCTCTTCAACATTTTAGAACGCAGTACTCCACCAGCCTATAACCACCCTGGTCATGGCCAGGTAGTTCACCCGTACTGTTACCAATATTGAATTGGTCTAATGAATGGCAGCACATTAATCATCGGACCTGTTTGCCCCAGTGCCCAGACTAATTTATAACCAGATTAGCTGATTAAGTTACGTCATTCGTCCCTTGATATAATTATATTTATTTAAATAATATATTTTATAGGATGTTTTTATTGCACTTATTTGCACTAACTAAAATTCAGTTAAAACTAGTCCTGGGATAGAATTTCCGCTCTTTATTGTACAGAATCTACATATAAGTCTCTTTATCAGTCTGTTTATAGATCAGCCACGAATTTCGCAAGCTAATCTAGGCGAAACCGGTTTGGAAAAGCCAAGTATAATTTCTGCACAATTTCTATATGGAATATGGCTCAAAGAAGGGATCAGAGGGGGTTAAAATTGAGGTCTGAAATGGCTGAAATCTGGCTTTGTTTTGTGTGTTTTCTTCGTTCGAATTAATCAAACATCGTCTAGTGTTTACTATTTTTTGTGAGGGTGACTGTAGTTTGTTCTGACACTTCCTTTTTAATTTCAAGTAAGCGATTAAGGAAATTAATTATCCTGATTGATTGTATCGCTGACAAGTACCAAAACTTTGTGAAACTTTCAAGTCTGCTTGTAAACTTTGATCTCGTTTTCAATAACCCTAAGTCACTTAAAGCTCGTACAAGCCAGGGAGTTTTTACTTCGTTTCATCATCCGAAGCCTAATTAGGCTTTGAACTATAAAGTGCAATAAAAAGGGAACAGCTTGAAAAAGTTTTACAACAAAAAATTTTATTTTGCTTGACGCATCTCAAACACAAGGAAATATTTTCAAAACCATATATAAATATAAATTTTTCCTTATCCTGGAAAGTTTATCTGATCATTGCATTAACGGTCATAGACTACTTCAGGTTGTTGATTTAAATCTTTATTTAAATCAGTACCTCGCAGTAGTAGAACAGTTGTTGGGAGTGGGCTCCTTGTTCATATGGGAATATCGGGCTCTCTCTGAGTAACTGATTGATATTTCATGCCCCGGGTGAGAGCCAGTGCTTCCCATCGGGGCATGTAATATCAATTCTGCTTTCCTGCCTTATTAGGCTAAGAAGTACAATAGAAAGTCAACATTGGGAGGAAGTTTTACAAGGAAAGTTTTTATTTCGCTTGACGCATCTGAAACGCAAGGAAATGTTTTAAGTTTTTGTATAAGTATACATTTTGCATCAAATTGTAAATTCTCTCTGACCATTGCATTTAAGGTCGTAGACTACTCAGGTTATTGATTTAAATCATTATTTAAATCAGTACCTTACAGTAGTAGATCAGTTCTGAGAGCGGGCTCCTCGTTTCTATGGAGCACTCTCTGAGCAACTAATTGATATTTCATGCCCCCGGGTGAGAGCCAGTGCTCCCCATCGGGGCATGGAATATCAATTCTGCTTTCCTGCCAAATTTGGCTCGAAAGTGTGATAACATATTTTATCCGTCAGCTCAACCTCCTCCCCCAATGAAGGTGGGTGAACTACGAGACGACCCTGGCAGTGATGCTTCTCAGACAGAGGCCGTGAAAGGAACCAGCTCATCTCTCATCGCTATTATCGCTGTGCTAGCGTGTGTGCTGGTTGTGGTTATTGTTGGTGGTTTTATCCTGTACAGACGCAGTAGAACCAGCGGTTCGTTTAACATGTTATATTAATAATAATTGCTTGTAAATTGTTTGCTGGTAATTTTTTACTTGTAAATTGTTCACTAGTGAATTGTTGGTTTTTTCACTCACACGTAAGAAGCATTTCATGACTTAAACACATTTCGCTATCTTTCCAATATCACTAATAACACTATCTGTTGTTTGTAAAATAATTTAACGTAAAGACTTTTGACATAGAGGACAAAAATGATATAAAAAACGTAAACATTCCTTCCTCAATCGTGACAGCATGCAGTTATAAATAATAAACCAAAAAATTTCCACTACTGACCGATCAAACCCCAGAATCTGTCACGTGTCTAAAACAATTCCTCACCTCACCACCAGTTGTTTAAAAATACACCATATTTAACTGCATGTGGTTCACCATCAGACTTAACTTAGTTGGAAAAGCTTTCATTCGAGAATTTACTGGTTTACCCACGCCCTTAACCTTAATCTTGCAACAAAATTTTTAAATCTTTATGGTCCAGTACAAAGCAATTTTTCCTGACAGACCTTACACTGTGTTTATTATAAGTGAATTATAATATTCTCTATATAAAATAGATAAAGTCTCACTGTATTTCAGTACCACTATTTTCTACCGATATTTGAGATGTTCCCATTGCATTAGGTTTGAATTTTTACAAGCTGCCTCTATTACTATAGCCCTCTTGCCAGCTTGCCTCACTATCTCTGTATATTGTATAGTTGTATAGTTGTGCTTAGTTTCTTGCTAGATAGCGATATTTCCATGTACAATGTGACAAATTTCAAATATTTTGTATTCTGTAGCGACAATTTCTGTAGCGAAAATTTCTTGTTCTTGTATTCTACTTCTATAAGCGATGTTTTTATATCATAGTGACAATTTCATCACATTGCATATTCAGAGGCTATTGATATTTAGAGGCTATGCTGACTGCTGTTCAAGTCATTTAATTTCTCGTCACGTTTGAATCCTTCGGTATTATGACTGATTACAGAAAACTTCAGGCGCAAAGTATACTGAAGTAACAGCCGAGAACCCGGAATTGTGAGAAGATAATATCTAGATTAATATCAAGACTAATGACTGTTATTTAATCTTGCCGGAGCAGGTGTTTTACTTTTAGGAATTTTTAGCAATAAATTTTATCGTAGATATGCATTTGTTTTCAATACCAGTCAATATTCGGCAATATTTAAATATTGAGCTGGTGATTGAAAGAAAAAATATAAGGATTTATAACTATTTAATGTTACAATTTGTAATTATAATATGTATTAGTTCCCTTTCATTTAAAAAACGTATTAATTTAATATTTGATTTTCACTAATCGTTTTATTGATTGATTTTTCGTGATTATTATGATCAGACTTTTGTTACTTCGGATTCCGATTATACTAAATATTTGTTTTATTGGTCCCCAGTACAGTATTGGTCCCCATGCATGCAGTATGCAGTACTGGAAAGAAGATACCAATACCACTAATAGTGAGTTAATTTTCTTTGAAACAGTAGTACTGTCACCAAGATGTAATTAGATCGAACGCAGAAATTAGATCGAACCGGTTCGATCTAGGAATTAGATCGAACGCGCGGCGCGGCTTTCAATGTATTTGTATATGTATCTTGCGCCAGCGTTCGATCTAATTCCTAGATCAAACCGGTTCGATCTAATTTTTGCGTTCGATCTGATTACATCTTGGTGACAGGTACAGTATTATACATTTATCACATGCCTTCTCATGCGATATCAAAACTTTCGCCCACGAGGCTTGCCGAGTTAGCGAAAGTTTCGATATTTCCCGAGGCTTGCCGAGGGTTATATCGACATTTTCAATCACGAGGCTTGCCGAGTTTTGAAAATGTTGATATCGCTTGAGAAGGCATGTGATTAATGTTTTATCACACTTTCTTTGGAGCCAAATTTGGCCGGGAAAGCAGAATTTGATCAAACGTTAGTTATAAATCTCACCAAAGCAAAACTAGACATGTCGAACTTATTTATGTTTATAATGTCCAAGCTATATATTATATATAGCTCTCGATAAGTTAGTATTTCAGATATTAAAGTTACAATACGTGAAATTAGAATCTCGCGTTTCACATTTATGAAACAGTGAATGCTGTGTGCCGCGCTGAATTTGCTTTGTACTGCTACCTAGTGCATGCAATATTAATGTGTTTTCCGCCTATGGGTCTTGTACTTATGAGTCTAGAATATTCCGCCGCGAGCGCGTTTGATACGTAATTACATCCTGCAAATCAATTGATGTGAGGTGATTCTAATACTTTATTTCTATTAGATATTTTTAGAGTCATTAAAAGTGTAGATGCAGTATAACGTATAGAACATCCGTTTAAGTGTTGATAATACATCTCAGTCCTTATCGTATAATCTGTATCTGCGATAAGGTGAAAGAATTTCCTGGTTGTTAAATTTACATAGAGCTGTGGCGCCATGATTGTCTATTTATCAGTCCACATTATACACTGCACACCCTAATTTACACCAACAATATTATCTTCCGTCTTGATTCTTGATTGTCTGTTATTTCAGAATGATTTAATCAATGCAACTTGTAATCGTTGACTTAGAATTTTATCAAGTATTCTGCTTAGTTCTTAGTCAGTATACATCTTTACTTGCCATTATTTGCCATTATTTGGAGCCAAATTTGGCCTGGAAAGCAGAATTTGATCAAACGTTAGTTATGAATCTCACCAAAGCAATACTAGACATGTCGAACTTATTTATGTTTATAATGTCCAAGCTATATATAGCTCTCGATAAGTTAGTATTTCATATATTAAAGATACAATACGTGAAATTAGAATCTCGCGTTTCACATTTATGACACAGTGAATGCTGTGTGCCGCGCTGAATTTGCTTTGTACTGCTAGTGCTACCTAGTGCATGCAATATTAATGTGTTTTCCGCCTATTGGTCTTGTACTTATGAGTCTAGAATATTCCGCCGCGAGCGCGTTTGATACGTAATTACATCCTGCAAATCAATTGATGTGAGGTGATTCTAATACTTTATTTCTATTAGATATTTTTAGAGTCATTAAAACTGTAGATGCAGTATAATGTATAGAACATCCGTTTAAGTGTTGATTATACATCACAGTTCTTATCGTATAATCTGTATCTACGATGAGGTGAAAGAATTTCCTAGTTCTTGTATTTGAATAGAGCTGTGGGGTCATAATTAGTGTCTATTTATCAGTCCACATTATACACTACACTCTCTAATTTACATCAACAATATTATCGTCCGTCTTGATTCTTGATTGTCTGTTATTTCAGAATGATTTAATCAATGCAACTTGTAATCGTTGACTTAGAATTTTATCAAGTATTCTGCTTAGTTCTTAGTCAGTATTCATCTTTACTTGCCATTATAAATTATTTGCCATTATCTGCTTCGAGCTAGAAATTATCTGAACTGGAAATTATCAGAACATTTGTAATATTCAAATGTATCTCTTCAACATTTTAGAACGCAGTACTCCACCAGCCTATAACCACCCTGGTCATGGCCAGGTAGTTCACCCGTACTGTTACCAATATTGAATTGGTCTAATGAATGGCAGCACATTAATCATCGGACCTGTTTGCCCCAGTGCCCAGACTAATTTATAACCAGATTAGCTGATTAAGTTACGTCATTCGTCCCTTGATATAATTATATTTATTTAAATAATATATTTTATAGGATGTTTTTATTGCACTTATTTGCACTAACTAAAATTCAGTTAAAACTAGTCCTGGGATAGAATTTCCGCTCTTTATTGTACAGAATCTACATATAAGTCTCTTTATCAGTCTGTTTATAGATCAGCCACGAATTTCGCAAGCTAATCTAGGCGAAACCGGTTTGGAAAAGCCAAGTATAATTTCTGCACAATTTCTATATGGAATATGGCTCAAAGAAGGGATCAGAGGGGGTTAAAATTGAGGTCTGAAATGGCTGAAATCTGGCTTTGTTTTGTGTGTTTTCTTCGTTCGAATTAATCAAACATCGTCTAGTGTTTACTATTTTTTGTGAGGGTGACTGTAGTTTGTTCTGACACTTCCTTTTTAATTTCAAGTAAGCGATTAAGGAAATTAATTATCCTGATTGATTGTATCGCTGACAAGTACCAAAACTTTGTGAAACTTTCAAGTCTGCTTGTAAACTTTGATCTCGTTTTCAATAACCCTAAGTCACTTAAAGCTCGTACAAGCCAGGGAGTTTTTACTTCGTTTCATCATCCGAAGCCTAATTAGGCTTTGAACTATAAAGTGCAATAAAAAGGGAACAGCTTGAAAAAGTTTTACAACAAAAAATTTTATTTTGCTTGACGCATCTCAAACACAAGGAAATATTTTCAAAACCATATATAAATATAAATTTTTCCTTATCCTGGAAAGTTTATCTGATCATTGCATTAACGGTCATAGACTACTTCAGGTTGTTGATTTAAATCTTTATTTAAATCAGTACCTCGCAGTAGTAGAACAGTTGTTGGGAGTGGGCTCCTTGTTCCTATGGGAATATCGGGCTCTCTCTGAGCAACTGATTGATATTTCATGCCCCCGGGTGAGAGCCAGTGCTTCCCATCGGGGCATGTAATATCAATTCTGCTTTCCTGCCTTATTAGGCTAAGAAGTACAATAGAAAGTCAACATTGGGAGGAAGTTTTACAAGGAAAGTTTTTATTTCGCTTGACGCATCTGAAACGCAAGGAAATGTTTTAAGTTTTTGTATAAGTATACATTTTGCATCAAATTGTAAATTCTCTCTGACCATTGCATTTAAGGTCGTAGACTACTCAGGTTATTGATTTAAATCATTATTTAAATCAGTACCTTACAGTAGTAGATCAGTTCTGAGAGCGGGCTCCTCGTTTCTATGGAGCACTCTCTGAGCAACTAATTGATATTTCATGCCCCCGGGTGAGAGCCAGTGCTCCCCATCGGGGCATGGAATATCAATTCTGCTTTCCTGCCAAATTTGGCTCGAAAGTGTGATAATACCAATTACTATACAGTACTAATATTATTAGACTGCGCTGACGTGTGAATTAGCTCATAGTCATAGCTGTAGGTTTATAATTTACTTTATCACTCTATATATAAGAGCCTTGTCTCACTTAGTAGATCGTGATCCTCATCGTCATAATTTCATTTAATACGCTTGGCGATTAACGGGACAACGGGTGATCCGGTGATACTCGTAAAATATTTGTTCAAAGACCGTCAACGAGTCTAACTCAGCGCGCATTTTGCCGTGAGCCGTCTTGATAGATTATAAACGTACATTAATCATTAATTAGGGGGTGCACGATAAAAATAAACTTGCTCGGATTTAAAAAATTTTTGTACCACCATGTTTTCTAGATCAGAGACTGAGAATTTTCACAATACCAAATTTGTCCATGTCATACCTTTTTGGAAAGATCAGTGAGTTTCGCCTAGGTGCCATATTTGATGCTGCGCGGCTTTTGGAGCAAAAATAGCTGTAAAAGTCGCGTAATTTGACCAAATTCGTTGATTTTTGTCGTATTGTTCGAATATATCTTCGGTTCCTTGAATGAGATCATTCTGAAAATTGACGACGACCTTCCAATAGGGCTTTCACAACTGTCCGAAAAATTTGGTGGATATCGGAGTTGATATAGTGATCAAAATGGGGCAAAATACGCTGCTTTTAGCTGTAACATAAATATGATGTCTGATAATTCGCTCTTAGTCTTACTAAATCGCTCGCCCAAATTTTAAGAAAAATCTTGTGAAAAGGCCCTTTGGGCATGAAAGTGATCTAAATCGGTGTATTTTTGGACGCTGATTCCGAATCACCCCCCATGACGTAGGTGGTAGGGTTAAAATGCTTCCCTGGAGAGTTATGGGCAAAAAACCGTTTTGGTCACGTGACAGGCTAGGCTAGTAAAATACTAATTTGATTGTTTAGGGCTCGGGTTAGGGTTAGGGTTGAGGTAAAGGTTATGGTTAGCTTCGGGGTTATGGTTAGGGTTAGGGTTTATGTAAAATCGTTTTGTACGGCTGCAAAACCATAAAAACCAAACACCAAAGTCACGTGAAATTTTTGGGCGAGCGAATTAGTAAAAGCCCTGATAATTGGATCGGATATGCTTTAACTTTTTCGAACACTTTCAGCTTGTAAGTCCATGAGTAAGCTTACCAATTTTTGTTGCAATCGGAGGTCGGGAAGCATAAAACCATCCTACAATCGGCACGCGCGGCTCACTGTCGATGGCGTACTACCTACATTTGACATTAATTGACGATGTCAATCCTAGCTGTACTGGTGCATCTCACGCGCACCGATCTAACGAATGTTGCGAAAGGTATTATTGGATAATGCGCGACCCACAGGAGGGGCAAAGTGCAAAGAAA